CTGCAGTTCCATCTCCTGTAGCAGACCCATCAGCTGTTGCTCCACCTGTGGGTTCAACACCACATGATGCTCCACCTATACACAGGGAAAATCAAACAGTTCACTTCTAGTCAACATCTGAACAAGAGCAAACATGGGCATTACCGTACTGCCAATCACGGCAGTGTTGTAGGAATGTCTACAGATTTGCAATCTAGTTGCATATATCTTACTCAGTTACTGTTACAATGTACTATCATTCTGCATGTAGCTACATACATGGTACAGGGAGAACACTGGGAACTGAACTTAGGACACATTAGTCAAACATCATGAATGAATCCATCTAGTCAAAGCAACTAAAAATTTATCAAGTTACCTTTTCTGCCTCTTTTTTCTTAGTGACTCCAGTGTAAGCCTCCAACACCCCAAGATGGTACAGCTGACGCACAAGGGACAGGGCAGCCGACTGGGCCGCTATTTTCTTGTTAGAGCCATGTTCACGGGCACTGATGTCTGAAAACATGTTCAGATACAATTCAATTTGACAAAGACAAGGAACTGAAAAATCACTCACGCTCGCTTACAGTTGTACTGTAATAAGTTCTTAACTTCTTACCCACTTACGATTTTAAAAAAGAAAAACTACTCACTGCGGTGAAGCTGCTTCACAAAGATAGTCATCTCAGCAACAAAACTCCTATAAGAAGAATTTTGTACAACTTCAGAAGTTGCAGAACATTTCCCTATTCCTGTTGCATTTTCAACATGCTGCTTGCCTGCTTGTATATACACCTTCAAATGTCCATTTTCATTTTTTTCCTTCCTCAAACTTTAACCTTGCTAATGCCACTGTTTAGGTTTGACAAAAAGTAACTTTGATTATACATTATAGGTTTCTGTACACAAATGCCTCACATAACATCACTTGGCAGTTGAGTATGCCTACATGACGTGTACTACAGAGACATTCACTGCATCTTGAATTAACACTATCAATTAGCCCCTAAATGTTACAATATTACTAGCACAAATTCCATACCAACTGTACCTACTTGTGTAGTATGGTACGCTTCATACTGACCTGACACTGCTACATGTAGCACCATCCACCTTCTGTGGGCCTGTACTACACTGCTTCTCTCACTTGATCTTTCACATGGCCATAACTTGCTCTTTACTGCCAAGCCTTGCAAAGAAACGACAGCAGAGAGATCTTAGAGGAGTCTAACTTGGTCTGTGACTTGATATGATGAAGTTCACTGACCATGTATAGACCGACATCATCACACCTATTACAACAGCATGAAGTCTTTCACCCAGAGACTACAGAACTGTTGCTGCTCTGCTTTCTCTGTCTTTAACAAAAATCAAATCGAAGCCAACTTGTGTACTTAACACTGTTTAAAGGAAACAGGTCTTTAAGCCATGGACAGAATCCTTTAGAATGCTTAAATATTCAAAGGAATCTGCCTATGTGGTAGTTGTGGCTTATTTGCATGCTGTTGGAACTGTGAGACTTTGTTGTCATTTCTTTGCAAGGCATGGCAGTCTTCCTGACTGTTCCCTCAGTAAACATAAACTCCTATGAGAATGCTTATCATAGTTAGAATCACTTCAAACATGATGCAGTATGTTGGACTTTGTTGGTACTTTTTTTTAAACTACATGTACCGGTATACCAAAATATTGAAACTGGAAATATCAGAAAGGCATGGAAAACCAACATCATCCTCAAATGATGCAAGAAGAGATTTTTCTTTGTGAAGAAATTTCTTTGTGGATATATACATGTACACTTAAGATGACAGTAACAAAGATTGTCACATTCAGTCTGCCAAGACATCTTGGTCAGTCAGAATGCTGAAAGAAACACCACTGGCCATGTGAAAGCTCAACCTGTGCCCAAGGAAGGTGGATGGGCATCACACACTGTACATTTGTTGTAAAAATATATACATGTACTTGGATTTAAATTTACATTTCTAAATGCTATGTTAATCAACTGTCATATTGGGCTTTCAAAGATTAAAGAACAACCTCAAAACTCTGACACTAGTGAACAGCAATTCTCTCCATTGATTTACCATTATACACAGTCACTCACGGTAATTAGCACAATCTTTGGTTAAGATTATAGACCTGTAATAAACAAATATTACTCTTAGAGTGGTGGCAAATTCAGCAGTAGTACAGAGAATGGTGTTGAGCAATTTTAGCCACTAGTAGCAGTATAGATAAAAGCACTAGCAGAAGAGAAATAAAGACATCATTTGTTTCCCAGTCATGTTACCGGTTGTGGTCAGGCCCTGTGGGGGAGTATCTATAGTCTGCCTGGATCCTGTTCTGCTGCATGAACTGGTGCAGACGCTGCTTGGCATTGTCCAGGGTCCAGTTACCATGGATACCAGCATTCAGGTCCATAGTTTCAGCCTGGACAGACATAAACAGATATCTTTATTCAAAACATGACACTGATCTACAATATTTTATTTCAAATCATTTTAATAATTATTATTATAATTTATTCATTTAATGTTTTTGCTTCAAACATACCATTCACACCTATGCCATATCATCAAATGTTGCAGCGTGAAAAATGACTACCATCTTCCTGCTTGTGCATAACTGTTACTTAATGCTTCTTTTGTGGTTGAATACAAAACTTGGAGAAATAGTGGCAAACAAGAACAATTCTGTGATGCCAATTTTACATCTCATTGTACATGTGATAACAAATGTTCAGAACTATGTACCTCTTCCACTTTCCTCTTATCCACTCTCTCAAAGTATTCCTGGTAGTCTTGACTTCGGCCAGAGTAGGGCTTGTTGTATTCATACACCTGACTACCACCTGAAATAGAGGGAAACTAGATGTATCAGGCAAGGCCACCATACTCACATTTGCATAAAATACATTCTGTTGATACTTCAAAATTTCATCTTGATGAAATTGTCAGTGACTTATAAGTCAAATGCCCTAATGTATTTCAATATCAATTTAAGGTAGCTAAATAGAGACATGGAAATGAAACCTGGACACTTAACTTATCATGCCTGTCTTCAACAAGATTTAAGAATAACCTACTACTACTAACCCCAATAACATTCTGTGAAAAATACTGATTTTTGTTATAACATGAAGACCAACCTTCTGTTACAAGACCAACAAGATGCAGGAAAAGGAACAAATCACAGTTAGCTGAGCACACATGAAACTGGAACATGTGCAATCAATGATACAAAATAATAAATACCCAAATCAGATCCGGTTTGTGTATATGGTTTGTGATATATCTTACCTTGTTCCCCAGCTACAGCCAGGTGTGGTGCAGGTGGAGCACCTGGAGGCAGCCCACCTGGTCCTGCACCTGATGGCCCTGCACCATCTGTCGGTGGTGCTGATAAGGTTGGAGCCTGACGAGGAGAAGGGGCACTTTTCAATATCTTCACAACATTCATTCAAATAGTTCCAACGTTAACTCTGCTGTAGTACTATGGAATAAGCATTTCGTCAATTATGAACATCAAATAGATGAAATTGGATTGGATCTTTATTATGAAACTGGCAGACATATCAGTCTGTATTTTTGGAATTCACAGAGATTGTTTCCATAAAAGATCACAATTTCATTGTCAATTTTTAACACAAAAATTCATTTCATCATATAACTAACTCACTATCCAGGCTTTTACAGTGTATATGATCCATGGGCACTACCTTTCATCCTAAGGAAAACGTTTACTAGAAAAGCAAACATATTATGAAACATGAAATAAAGGAAAGCATCCAGTAAGAAAGGCTGCAGCAAATATGACTTCCATCTACCTCCACAGCAGGGACTTCAGCCTGGCTAACTTCCCCCGTGCGGACGAGATACATGACAAAGTCACGTGCAGCATTCGTCTGCGCGTCCTTCTTGCTGGTTGAGTTGCCAGCACCGACATAGTCATAGCCTGGGACCCGTACCTGAAACGGAGATGTGAAAAAGGTACTGTACTTATTGGTGCATGAAATTTAAAATACAAGCTTTGTAGGTCTTGCATTCAAAATCTACAAGGTTTAAGGAAGCTATTTTTAATTACAATGTCTGCCATTTCTTAACACAATCAGTGATGTCTTGCAATATTTTTTCCTGACTTTGATAATTTTGCAGACCTTTTTGTTTGTCATATTACCATATATGCAATACTGCCTGCATAATTACCTCACACACAAAACGTTGTCTCTGTTTGGACCCAGCTGCTCTGAAGTCGTAGTTGGGGGTGATTTTCTTTTTCCCACACCAGGCGTACAGGAAATTCTTCAGGTCCGCCATGCCTGCAACTGGAGGGCAGTGCATGGTGCAACTTCAATAAAAAAAATCTTCACATCTCTACTCTACCGGCTCTACCCATTGTTTCATGATCACGTTATCCGGATAAAGGAAAGTTATAGTTCTCTTTTGAATAAATTTAAGGGCAACATCCTACCTTTCCTCCAAGTCCAAAATAATAAAATTGCAACTGATGAATGATTTTGCTGAGCCCCCCTCCCTCATTCCAAAATTTGGAATTATGTTGCCTGTAGCACGCACGCAATACTTTTACCTCCATGCAGCCAGTAGAAAACGATACCGATATCCAAAAACTAGCTACTGATAGCTTCTACGTATACCAAACAATGTATTCTGACTCAACGCTTTCAAAGAAAACCCGTAATTTTGCATATTTCTGTACATTTTCTACCCACATTCTTGCAAAGCCTGCACGACCCGGCGTGTCCACGTCCGACTGAGCCGAGGTGCACTGTGGTCCTTTCATGCAAAGTCATGGGAGGAAAGAACTTAGTAAACAAACCATATTTTCAGACAATAATTCAAACAAAAAACGTTAAACACTTACAAAAATGGCTAGAAATGCAAAACACAAGTTTTAAACGTTATTTTAGTACGGTTTTGTAGGTTTATTGTGCAAAATTTGCACTTAGATCTGCATTTTCAATTCTTTTTTAAAGTATAATTCCTCCTACCAGTAGCTACAGCTGCTCTTGGAGGTCAGAGGTTAGCGTCTGGTGCGGAGGGAAAAACAAGTCAGGACCACTTGCAGCTGGGCGCATTTCGGCCTGTTCTTCCCCTTGATCAGCACTCAATACATCTTTTACTACGGTAGGTGCGTATCTTCTTCAGTTCTCAACAAACTAAAGACCTGGAGTTGTGCATTTTCCCTGCAAAACCCAGGTTGTGTTTGTGTGCCGTATACGATTTGCCACGGCCAAGGACAACAGTCGTGGACATGTACTCTGCGCTGTTGATACCAAAACCCGATGTTTCCTTTGAAAATCTTGTTTTCTGTGATATCTTCTTTAGAAGGTAAACCTATGGAAGACGTTCAGATCAGCCATTTTAGTCACGTATGACACATTCCTTTCCGTTGCCCTGCACACCTTGAAGATACGTTTGCCCCCGGGGTATTCTCCGCCCCCGAAGCGCCATGTCTCCTGAACAGAGTTGTTTTCACAGTCACGGTTGGGGGGGGAGTCTAAATGGGTTATCTATATTCAGGAGCAGCTCTACCCAAAAAGTGCACGCAGTCGAGAAAGGACAGAGAATTCAAGAAGTCAATGTCAAGTTGCCAACGATAATAAATTATGGTAATGTAGTTGTCTCTTTTGGGCTCGTATGTCTGGTTCAAACGGACACGCCCCTTTTGCTTTAGTTGACTTGTGTGTCTAGATAAAAGATCTCCAGAGGACAAAATGACCTTACTAATTAACGTCACATGCGACATGTCCAACTTTGTCTCGTTGTAGAAGCTCGGAAATAACTTAAATGACAAAATGTGTCACCTAGTATTCAATCAAAAATGAAACCTCTGTTTCATCATTTGAATATGGAGATTGCTCTGTCTACCTTGGTCGGTTGGTATTTAAATTACAGATCCCCTAGTATTTACTGTGATCATTTGAACTTAGAAAACACCTGTTACTTCTGTAGCTTCAGGGAGACAGCATAGCTTGAATCGTTTCATGCCATATTTTCCTTGCATTTTCTGTACTTTTATGCACAGTCAGTAGCCCTTAATTGCAAATGACCTACCTGATCTTTTTGGGTGTGCCACCTAAAATGTGTGTGTTAACCTTTGGAGTCTAATCACTGTCCTGACACTGGCAGGTTTTGGTGACATCACGAAAAAAATGTGTTTAAAATTGGGTTAGGAAACAAAACAAAAATGCCAGCCCAAAGCACATTTGAAAAATATACTAGTACATTTTTCAAAATCAAAGAGACTTAAAGAGTTTGAATTGCGTGTAAAAGCAAGGGACACACCACTGATAATCTCATCCTTCCACTTTGCAAATTGTTAGAGTTAAATGTGAATTTATTGTGAGTACATGGAATTCATCTCATACACTCAATGCAGCACGTTCTAGTCTAGTGGAATCGTCATGGAGACAACTGAGATCATCCGCACAGGCGCCATGCTGGTGGCGTTTGCGGTGGCCGTGAGCCGGGGACGGAAGATCTGGATGTTGGCGGATGCAGGAGCTGTCCTGTTGTTTGGCGTGGCATGGATTGCTGTGCCAGGAACTCTTCTGGGCCAGATGGTAAACATTTAGGTTTAACTTTAAGTTTCCTATTAAATTGCTCTCTTGTTCATGTACTGTACTTTGTGTCATTTTCATCATTATCATCATAAATGATTCTCAGTAAACTGGCAGCAGAAAAGATCATTGTGTGCAGTGAAAAATTCTCACTGCATACAATGATCTTTCTTCTGTTGCCAGTTTATGGCAGTAATGAATGAGGTCATCAGATTGAGTTACTAGTACACCTGTAACACTGGTCAGTGAACTTTTTAGCCTAGAAGAGGCTCATTTCATTACTGGAATTAAGCATTCAGCTGCAAGGAACACATTGTGAAGAGGCAACCTAAAATAAAGTTCTGCATGTCCAGAAATAATGAAACATGTAAGAATCATTTGAGTGTTTCTAGTAGAAATTTGCTTCTATCCTCGTAACCCATTCCCTTAAATTAAAATTAAATGTTTTTCCCTCACACTGTTCCATCCATAAGTCCATGTGGAAGCAAGCTGTGTGTTTTTAACCTAGTTCTGTCCTCTAGAGTTATAGGCTAAAATAAACAGTATGCAAGAGGAGCACTTATTTCAAGCAGATATTCTGTTCTGTTGAGCTGACTGATACTTGGTTTATTTTTGTGGTAGTGTTTGTGTACTGTTTCAGCATGACACAATCCAGTCCAGTCACCAGCACACATGTAGGTAGTCTACAAGGCTGGGCAGGTAGATATACATCAAACAGGGTCAACGACCTTGGGGTCAACAACTTCTATGTGAATTTAGGAATGGCATTCAAACATACCATGAACATTAATGGATTGCAGAGCCTTCATACATACCGTTTAGGTTATAGAGTTGATGACTTAATTGTAATTATTTATGAATTTGCCTGTTATATGGAAAAAAAACAATGATACAATTTAATAGGAATATCACATGAATGTTCATAAAAAATCGGCCCATATCATTCACTCAGTAGGAGTAATGTTGCATGTACCATTATGAAGTTTCTGTACATCATAATACATGTATCACATAAAAATCATATCTATTCATTGACCTCAGGCTCAAAGGAGTCTACATGTACTATATGTCCCTCTGCTTAATTCCAGACGACCGGTCCGCTGGATGGCCATCACCTGGTCATGGGCCGTGAGTTTGGTGCCCTGCTGATCGGGACTGTGGCCATTTTCTACAAGATCCGCGATTCTGGTGACATCACCGTGTCCAACGTGCTGCTGTACTCCCGTGTCATGGTGGGTGTTGTTTTAATTGTCCAGCTTTTGACAATTAACACATCAGTTTGTTGCATGATCCCTGTTTTAAGTATACAGTCTGGTGTAAATCTTTTAAACATGTTTGGTATGTAACTTTGTAAGAAGAGTCTACAATTCAGCCTCAAGGCTGCCAGATGTGGCCATATGAAATGAACAAATAAATTAGTCTATCATTATCTACCGGTATCTACAAAGATTATTTGTAAAACTGTAAAATGAAGTACAATGCAATATAATCGTCTGGCAAAGGTGCTAAGTGCCAATACCAGTTCTTGCATGGGCATGACCTTGACCTGTCTGTTGCAGGGCATTGCGATGCAGCTGATGGCCGTTAGCTACACCCAGCTGTACTACAGGGATCTGGAGAAAGGTGGCTGGACAAGTGAGGTAAGAAATGATGTCTTCCCCTCATTTCCAGAAGTGAAGATTGATCCTAAATAACTTTCCAGTTTTAAACAAATTGATTTTAAGTCTAGTTTTTCGTAATTATTGCTAGATCTACAATTAAGTCCCAATCTAAATTACATGTGCCTATATTATGATGTCTTTATGACTTTTGTAGATTTTCAAAATGCACAGAGTCTTTTCAAGAGTCCTCTTCCTGCAAGCCTTGTGTCTACATTATAAATACACTGAACTGTCAACCTTTCTTCCTGGTACCTCAGCAAGCGTGGTTTGGCCTGTTTGGAGGAGGAGTGTGGCTGTTGGGGAACCTGTACCACAGTGCCAGGAATGACCAGTTCGGCTGCTACGGCCAGCGGAATGACCGTCTGTCCTTCGTCCTGCGGCTGGATGGATTCCTGTGCCTGTTGGGCGGCCTGATTGACTTCGCTTTTCCGGACATGGCAGTGTCCATGATGGTAATACATTTGAATCCCTTCACATTTCATTTGGATGTATTAAATACATGTATAACTACTGGTAAGATTACTTAATGACTGATCATAGATATAAGAATAAAATATACCTTCATCAGCTTAACATATAAACAAATTTTTGCTGATATATGCATGTATATGCATCATCATCAGACCCCATATTTTTCCTGGCATTTATTTTTCTTTCTTTATCTATATTTGAAGACAACAGCTGATATGCAATGTAGTCATATGTAGTTCAGGTGTATGGATCCTTTTCCATATTGCATGTGTGCTGATTTTTCCTATTTCTCCCCTAGGTGAAATTGAAGTTGGATGGTATCCACCTGCACATGGTTCGTTGTGTTGGTTCTGTGGTCTTCATGACCGGCCTGGTGTCCACCTGGGCTCCTGTCTTCCTGAAGGACGAGGACAAGAGGAACGTCCTGTTTGGCAGGATCGTGGTGAGTGGTCAGCATCTTTGATAATGATAGCCTTGTGTCCAGTCTATCCTATTTTAGGTGGGCTCTCTTCAGAGCTGTTAGGAGTTTTCTCCCACCCAGCTCAACAGGCCACCCTGTAGGAGTTTTGCACAGAGTTTGATCAATGTGAAATGTGCTGGGCTAACTGAACTTTCGTCATGCAAAACCCACTGCGGAGCCTAGCTGAGTCAGGCAGCAAAGAGAACTGGAGCAGCCACAAAGAGAACCGGCCCAAAATATGATAGACTGGACACCAGGTTACATCTTTAGACAGCTGCTTGTGGATGTATGATGAACCTTTAGCATGAGGAAATAGAATTGGTCTGGATCAATACGCTAGTGAAAAGGATGGAGTGCTGAAGAATAGTCACCATTTTTTTTTCAAGGAAACCCAGAAGCCTCTACGTATAGTAAAAGTTATTCCTAAGTTTTAATGACAGTTTCTTGATTTCAGCAAGATGTGGTGCTTCTGGCGGTCGTCCTGCCCTACATGTATACGTATGGTATATTCTCGATCGCATTTCTTGCCTAGCATCGGGCACATGGGCTTGCTGGTATTTGGCTACCTGGCACCTACTGGGAAGAAGACGGCCTGAGGTGACATACAACAGCATCAGTTGGGACTCTCTCCCTACATCAGAAATGGAATCTGACAATCACATACTGTAGTTCTTCTGAATACCCTTGAGAGTGTTGGCAAAGCCAGGAGAAATGTAGCATGGTGTTTTAGATTGCTTCAATAATGACGGAATTATGGGTTTTAATCATCTTTATTATGTTAGCGTTTTATATGTTTTCAATCATATTGAATTTCTTTAGAGTGTTACATGTATGTAGAGGTGGGTTGTTAGTTGTTGCTAATAAACTAAGCCTATGATAGATTGTAGATGTAACGACTAATGGGAAACACAATCATGTACTGCTGTTGAACCGAGGACCACATATGTTGTAATGAGTCTATTTTATTATATTATTATATCTTATTCAAGATAATATAGTGTGCTGTTGGACAGTAGAATGTCTTAGGTTAACTCTAATAGACTTTTTAACTGGTAAAGAAGCATCTGTCTAAGGTTTGTATAAACATGAATTTGTAGCTTATTTCTGTTGCATAAGATGATCTGGCTAGTTCATGGTTGTCATGTGGTGTGTAGGGTATTTGCATTTGACATCACAGTTGTCATACAGGTTGGTTGGGTCAAACCTATAAATTTCATGTGCTTTTATGTGTACTTATGTCGTAGACTTGTGACTGTAAAAATTCAAATTTGCATGGCAGTTTTGTTTTCCAGCTTTAACACCCGATAGTTTGCCAATTTTTGAGCAGGCTAGTTTTAAAAGGCACTGATTTCTAGCAATGACAATCACTGTGTACCAATTAGACAATCTCTATGAACTGAACTGTCCAAGAAACAGTTGCTTGATATGGTGTATAACATGGTGACTTGTGATGTATGCAGTGGTGAATGTAACAAGAAAAATAGTTTTTTTTACATATAGTTTTGTATTTTAGTACAATGCCAATACACAGCATAATGAGGACATTCTTGAGACAATACCGGATGTGTCATACAGCATTCATTAAAGTCTGGTGACAGAAAAGGCTGTTTTTTTACAGTTGTTTTCTTGTCTAAAATAGTACTCACTTGTATTAGAAAAAGTTGTGAATGTATACCTTTGCAGCATACATTGTGCTGAACACCATTCACACACAAACCTACCTGTCCCTGGTGCTGAACACCATTTAGACACAAACCTACCTGTCCTTGGTGCTGAACATCATTCACACACAAACACACCTGTCCCTGGTGCTGAATACCATTCACACACAAACCTACCTGTCCCTGGTGCTGAACACCATTCACACACAAACACACCTGTCCCTGGTGCTGAACACCATTCACACACAAACACACCTGTCCCTGGTGCTGAACACCATTCACACACAAACCTACATGTCCCTGGTGCTGAACACTATTCACGCACAAACCTACCAAATTAGAAAGTACAACATGTATGTAGAAACATCACTGAAAACATACCACACATATTTGTCAAGAAATAGTTTTTAATTGCTCACACATTGTACCACTATCGAATTTCTCCATATTAACATTTTATGACACCCAAACTGCAACTAACTATATACAGAAAATCTTCCCAAAATGAATCATTGCTTCTTGACATTTTGTAATACAGTGAAACGTTTGAAGAACACACTTGATGCCAGTACTATTATGAATAAATGAATGGATACATGGTACATTTTTCTGGGATTGCATGTTTGGTGAACACTGAAATGGCAGAAATAATGATGAAGAGACTCCTTATGTATTACAATATGAAACCAGGCAAGTGTCAGACGTATGCAATGGCAAAGTCCTTCCACCATCTGCTTGGTTTTCATTCATATGGTAATGAGATCGACAGCGAAAAGTTCACTCCTGCAATGGCTCTGACCACTTCTGCGAGGGATCAGCTGACTGCAAAATCGCGTTTTGGTGTGTAACTCGAGAATGAAGCATATTTGAGGAAAGGCAATAAGTAGGAATAGAACAGAGACCGGACAGTGCATACACTGAAAACGAGGAAGCAGAAAAATTTCAAAAGTTTCATTTTTCTAAAATTGGAGAAGCGGATATTCATCCCCTATCACGCCCCCGTTTTGGAGCACCGGTTCCAAAAGAGTCTGTATCTCGCGAAGGAAGCGTCTTTTTTTCATTCACAGATCTGGCCATTTGGGAAACGAGATGGGCTCTTATGGGGGTTTTACTCCAGGTCTTTTTCGCTTTTGTTCTTGGCCCTGAGGCTTTCCCCCAACTACCCAGATATCAGAAATTTATCGGGAAAGAACCGTTTCAGTATTGCATCTGTTCATCTTGACACAAACATTCATAGGATAGGTTATACAAGCCGCCAAATACAGAGATTTTTCGTCAATATTTCTCTCATTTCAGTGTTCAGTAAATTAATCTATGAAAAAATTAAAACGTATCATTTACATAAACGCCATATGCTACTTTTTACTATTTTAAACGATGTGTTTGATCTGTTTTGATGACGAAACTAGTCTTCGTTTGGCTTACAATTAAGCTATCTATCTTTCCATTTTTAATGTAACCTCATAAGATAAATGTATCAACACCAAAATAATAACTGAACACAAAGATGGAAAACATTAGGTAACACTGAACGAACAATCACTTTCTTCTTACATTAAATATGTGAAAATCACACCTATTAGTCATGTAGCTGACTCCACACCTATAGACTTTACAGAACCTTAATAACATTATAGAAATAATATTTAAGTTTCGATGTTAAACCATCACTCACCATCGAAATTAGAGCAAACTACGTGTGCTTGTCATCACTATGTGTTAGTGTATGTGTGTGTGTGTATGTGTGTGTGTGTGTGTGTGTGTGTGTGTGTGTGTGTGTGTGTGTGCGTGTGTGTGTGTGTGTGTGTGTATCTGTGCCTGTGTGTTCCTGTGTGTGTGTGTGTTTGTCTGTGTAAGTTTACATCATGTTATCTATCAAGACGGTTTAGCGTATATTTTAGCCTGTCTACCTAGGTGCCCTCCACGCCTGTCGCGGCGCGGAAGCAGCCTTCGGGAAGGGCGTTCTTGATGGCCTCCAGGTTGTCCACCTCTCTCCGCAGCGCGTCGATGTCGACGTTGAGCCCGACAGTCGTTTCCTGCATGAACGCCCTCACGTTGACGAGCCACTGATTGAGGTTGAGGGCTTCCCACTGAGCCTTCTGGTTGTCGTATGTCTGTTGGAGTGACTTCATGGTGTCGGCGTCGGGGGCGTCTGACCCTTCGCCTGGACACGAAGGAAAGAAAAAAAACGTGACCGTGTTATTCAACTTGGGCAGATGACGTTAACGTTGTGTATGCATGAGTTATGTTATCTTTATCTCTAATATAACTGAATAGCGAGGAGAACTTGAATGTATCTAATCGTTAGTTTAATCTTGTATCTCTTAACTATGTCTGTTCATCATGCTTTTTGTGATCTGTACTTAGCCCAGTGTGACAAAAATGTGCAATAAAGGTCGTCATTCAGCATAGCCATATAGCGCCAGTTTGTGCGGATATAAATACCTGCATCTGTACGCTTGCCAGCTGACTGCTGCTGTACTCACCTAGCTTGTCCAGGATAGCCTGTAGTCTGCGGTCCGTTTCCTCCAGCAGGTTGAATGTGTCGTCGGCTTCCTTTTTAATCCTCTCCGCATCTGCTTTCGCCTGTAGAAGACAACGCAACCTTAGTCCACTTTTAAAACATACTTGATTCTGAAAGCTCGACACTCTTGATCGACAAGCTGTCAACGAACGAACAGCATACGAGACGCCAGTCATTGCTAGAGTCGGTATTTCCGTAGTGTGAATGATAAGATTGACTGATAACCAACAGTATGTATTACCTTTGCAATTGTAGCTTCATCCTGGTCAGCCTGTTTTTTCTTCAGGTCCCACGGACGTCCAGCATTATCGAAATTCTCCACGTCTGTGTGCAGAGTTTGGGCTTCTTTGTGGCGATCCTCCGCTTTCTGGGCCAGTCGGTCGGCTCGCTCGAGCTCCTGCCTTGCCGACTGATGAAAAAGATTATCTTAGAGAAATCGTACCGGTTGTGAGAAACAATCTCCAAATTAAATATATAACTATGTACAACATGATCTAGCCTCACCAAGACCTTAATGGATCCTGACAATATCCACTGTGGATAAAAGTTTGGTCTTGGCGATTGGATTGATAATTTTTCCCTTCATGTTTTGCATTAATATCAAGCTGAATATCATATTTACTGTTTTGGTGTCGTCCGCGATTCTCTTGGCGTCCTCCGCAGTGTTCTTGGCATCCTCGGCGTCTGTCTTGGCGCTCCCCAGGTCGGTGTTGGCGTCGGTGGTGGCCGTCTCAGCCTCCACTATAATGGCCCTGATGTTAGGCTCCTTGGTAAGGGCGGCCTTCGCGTCCGATTTCGCCTCGTCAACCTTATTGGCGAAGTCTGGTGGTATGACGAAACAATAAAAACAACAAAGAGAATAACAACAACTAAGCATAGATATGTACAAGTTACATTAAAAAACCTTCACTACGGGGTGTTGATGTAATGACATTGCAAGAGAATATAAGGAAACAAAACGCATATACATGTGTATTACATACATGACCACGTTAATCCCATGCTGTTTATAATGTCCTTTGATTTGCTTCTAGTTCTACTCATATTACAAAACAGATTCCACAATACGCTGACAGGAACAACAAATAATGAAAAATAGCGTTTGGTTTTACGTTTCACAGAGTAAACCAGCGTACTGGCATGGCAATAGTTGAGTTAGACATGAGGTTTCGTCTTCTCCATTTTAGAAATAAAGCGCACGTTCATGTGACCTCTTTCCTAATGGCACGGTTGCAATCCCGGCACCTACCGCTGAGAGTCTCTAATGTCTTCTCTGCGTCAGCCAGGATGGCCTCGGCATCATCCACCGCCTCGTCTGTGCTTCGTTTTGCTCCATGGGCCCGAGCCATCAGCTGGTCTGTACGCTGGAATAACACAATGGGGTGACGTGTTAATCTGCAAACAGATATATCAATGGCTACATGGCAGTATCCAATTGACCAGGTACCACCCGAAGAGCGTAAAAATATACTACAAAAAAGAAAGACCGTTAAAAGAAAACAAAAGCCTAAATCTTTGCTTGGGGAGTAGGTAAAGTGTAATAACATGACACTCCTAACTGTAACAACTAAAATCCCAATAGAAAAGATGGACGAAAAGTAGTTATGATGGAAACTAACGCTGCTGTAGTCGCTTGCTGACCAAACCTCGAATCTCGCACCGGTGTTTCTGACGTACCTTGATCTGTTCTTTGGCATCCTGCAATTGCTTCAATGCCTCGTCATGGTTGGTTGTGACGTCATTCACAACAGCTGTCCCGTCAGTATCCAACTTATCAATCTCCCCCAGCAAATCATCCGACTGCAACAAAAAGGATAGCACACACACTGACAACAGCTCAAGACTGTTTATCTAATATTGAGTATGTAATGTATGGGTATTTTATGAATGACATTGTCGGTATGGTGGCCTTGAAAGGGTGTACTTGAACAACCTGTTCCAACATACCTTCCACTATATGAAAACTTGTCCTGAATAAGAAAAAAACATGTTGGTAGTCACATGTTTAGAGTTAAAACTCGCTCTGGTCGAAAGTCTAGGTGAGAACAATTCTTTGTGTTGGAACAAAAGTTATAACTTTAAACAAATAAAACCCGTACATAAGAGCCAGAATGTATCAGTGCAGAAGGAGGGACAGAGAGAGGAGATACCTCTGTCTTGATGTTGTTGGCCTGTGTTTTCAGCCCTTCCACGTCCAGGTTGGATGTTCTCGCCAGGGCGTTTGTCAGAATCCTCTGGGCGTTCTCATCAGTGGTCTGCGCCTTCTGCAGGGCGGCGTCTGCCTCCTGCTTCACCTTCTCCAGATCCTTGGCTGCCTGGTCCAGTCTGGGAGTCAGGGAAAATGGGAAACGACTTCGAAAATGGGTCTCAAATACCAGTGGAAAAGAAACAATGTTATTCCTTATAACTTTATTAACTCTCTCTTCTGCTAATTACAGAAATATAACAGTGGTGCAACATAGTGTTTAGGCCGGATTCTTCATGTAGACAAACCGTCAAAAAGAATTGCAACACACCTAGATACTTATCAATGTTTACATATTGCTTACTAGTACAAAATGTAACATTAGCCAAAGCAACGACATCTGTATTTTCCCATCCAGTCTACCGTTCTTACTTCGCTTGCAGGTCGTCCAGTGCCCCCACGCTAGAGTCGGATCCATCGGGGTCCAAGGCGCCCTTGATCCTCTTCAGCGCTTCTTTAGCGATACTTAAGGCGTTGTTAGAGACGTCTTCAATCTTCTGGGCGTCTCCTTCTTGTCTGTGGGGAGACAGAAATACACATTACCTAACTTGTTCCTAGACCTAGGATTGTGAATAATATAAACAGAATATACCAGCCCGCTTTTGTAAAGTATCAGCGCTAATATTGGACCCAGTTCCTACCGAAAGTAACAATGTACTTTTGAACATATCTCGATTTTTGTCATACACCTCTGAAGCTGGTATGGTATGTTATTCAAGTCCACAACATTTGTACATCAGTAAAACTCACTCGTTTGCAAGTTCCTCAGCTTTCTTCACCAACTCGTCGAATTCGGCAGACGCTGACCCTGTGTCACCCCCGGAGTTGTCGATGATATCCTTCCCCTAATATGAAAAATGAACAAAATTTAACGAACATAAGATGTATATAGGCAATACCTGGAACAATACCTTCTACTCAACAGACTGAATGAGAGGAGACAAAAATACGGATTCTGTCGACGTGCTGCGTCGAAATGAAGGTTCAGATTATGCTCAGAATGTGGTGCAAGACACCTGCAAAACTTTTCTAACAGTCCCGGGGTGTTGGCATGCGTAATGGACAAATCAAGACAATGCCAAGACATCATTTTTCCTAATCTCAAAGCAGATTAATTCGATTAAATTGGCCATTTCCCCCCGGAGAACGCACTAGGGTGGAGCTATCCTTGGTGTCGGTGCGCGTGCCCCTCCCCGTGTGGTAACCATAAAAACAGATTATCGGGGACAGATGGTAACTCGGGTGGCCAATTTGATCGTCCCCTGGCCCCGAATGAATCTGCTTGGAGATTATACTTTTCTTCCAGTAACCATGGCTTTGAGCCGTGCGGATTGTTTGTAAGCTTACACATACACTAAGATAGATTGCTGTAACTGTGCCGACACACCAGTAGACAGTATGAATTGTTGTAATATTACAAGCTGACCTCGTTCTCCATGTAATCCTTCATGTCTCCCATCAGTTGGTTGATCTGGGCAATGATACCCCGGATGTTGAGTACTTTATCCGCGGCGTCGTTTGCGTCCCGCCGCCCTCTGTCCACGTTGTCCTGGATCCCGCTCACTTTGGCCCTCAGGTCGTTCAGCAGGTCCTCCAGTTCGTCCACAGCGCCCCCCGTCCCGGTTCCACCTTCGCACACAAGTGAGGACATTAAACAAATAGAAAGGTAACATTTGCAAAGCAAACGCATAATGTTTATCTTCGCATATGGTCTGCTCTGTTAATTCTTACTCAAACACATTCACATATATGGTGACAGGAGTCTAAATCCCGCCTACTATAAAATTGAAAAGTGTAACCCAACACCAGTTACCATGGTGAGAGTACGGAAGAAGAAGAAGGAACAGAGCAAAAACAATATGTTTTCCTTCGGTAAACATAATTAATGATCGTCGAAGATGAGCAAGTGTTTTCACAAACTAAGAGACCCAAGACCCATGTATATCGTCAATTTAAAGATTTTGAATACGCCATTTTTTTTATCTCGATACAGCATTTCACAATGTAGATGGCATCTGTTATCAATCATCGCCACCTTAAGTACTAAAAATACTAGAAACGGTCCGAACAAAAAGTCCATTCCCTGCGTCATAAACAATAAAAACAACTAATACATTTACAATACACCCTTTATTTGCCACCAAAAGAAAAGATTTCCTGTGAAATGCATGGGAGACATTTTAGGGATTTTTTTTTAAAGATCTGTAGTATGTCACCGCTCCTGAGGCGTTGGAAAAAAACACAAAGTGAGTCCTACCTCCGTGTACACTATATGATGCCCAGTAGTTTCTATCGGTATCAGACTAACAATTAGCCAATATGTAACGGCCGAGTTGTAGGCTATTCGCACCTTTGGTTTCATGTAAATGCCACAAACAGAAACCAAGTAATTGTCTTTTTTTTACTGAGAGTTTGACATCTTCACTACAGTGCCACTACAGTACTTCCTCTGTACGTTTGAAAAGTAATTTGATGACAGAACCGGAACAGAACTACCTCCGCGTATTTGCTCCAGCAGGTCGGCGGCGTCCTGCTCGGTCTGTGCCAGCCGTGCCTCGAAGGTGGGGTCGGTGATGGGTGACCCGCCCGAGGCGTCGTCTATGAGCTGCTGGAGCTGCTGCACCATGGCCCGCAGGTTGGTCACCTGGTCGTTAACGTCGCTGTAGCAGGCCGGGCATTCTGTAGGGACAGAGTCAGTGTTACATGCATTGGTCACGTATCCTACTCGACATGCTTAGCCTCTACCGAGATTCGCAAGTGGCTTGAAAAAGTAGAAATTGGCCTTACAGGCAAAGGGGAGCTGGTCCGCTAAAGGAGTACATTTGACGCACCCGCAAGCATCGTATCTGTCTATTTGGCCAATTTATACTCTTTCGGGCCTGGTAGAGGCTGCGACAAGATTTACTTCGTCCAAAATGGTTCAAATTATTTCTGACTCTGATCACCGACTGTTTGTGAGAACGTTCTATAAAGATCTGATCACCAAAAGTAACAATACGAAAACACAAAGTGTACCTTATACCCAGTATTAAGATATCTTATTGAGCGAAGTTATTTGTTTTTACGTAGACAGCCGCGGGACACGTCGTAGTAGTTCTCCCGGCACTTGTCACACTTGTCTCCGAAGATGTCGGATTTACAGCTGCAGGTCCCGTCAGCGTTACACTGCTGCACCATAGACCCGTCCGAGTTACACTCACACGCTGAAACAAAATAATCATTAAGTTTCTTAGGATATAATAACATTTGTTTATTGATTCATTGTAGAATCTCACGTATATTGGAGCGCAAAATGGCGCTGAATTTTATACTTGGTTCAAAATTTACAAATTACAAATGAATAAGTGTACAGATAGGACTAAAAACAATTAACGTAGAAACAAGGAGGTTAACATCCTTGGTACAAATGAGTTCTAAAAAGAAAGACCTAATAACCAATATTAACTGCACATACTATAAGTAATACATATAACGAGCTGGAGACACTACAAAGTACATTGAAGATCAAAGCTTGTAGTGTCTTTATTTGTCCTCCAAAACAAAACAAAAAACAAATCATAAAAACATACCATCATGAACACTAGTCACTACTGTTTTACCATTTTAAAGTCTTATATCAAAATCATTTTTTACGAATCATAAATGATACATGTATGGATCAGATCTAATAGAACCCACCTTTACATCCCTCCTGGGTTGTCCCATAGTAGTTTTCAGCGCAGGTATCACAGCTTGTGCCACCGAAGCCTTCCTTGCAGTTACACTGACCAGTAGACTGGTCACACGCACTGTCCATGGCGCCCACCAGGTCACAGTCACAGCTCTGGCAGCCCGCTCCGCTCATGATGTTCCAGTACCCGTAGATACACTGGTCACATTTCCTGCAAAGTCAGCGGAACATCGCATTTTTTAAAACATTTGACACATGACGCCACCAGCAGTAGACAAAACTCATTTTCACCCGAGTTAAGTGAGGAAAGTCGTGTAAAGCGCCTTTCCCAATGGCACAAGATCGGTGACATGGCAGGATTCGAAGTCGGGGTCACAATTACTGTCGTCAATAGTTATCCCACCTGGTTGGTAAATACTTTTATTCAAGATAAAGCGACATTAACATGTCTAAAATCCATCAAATGTCCAACTGTCTAGCTATGTAGTGCAGTAAATTGATAATATGAAGTAATGTGATCTTTCGCTGAAGATAGTACCAGAGACCAGGTCTGTTGCCTAGAGCAAATAAGAAGAAGACATCTGAAGAATCCTTACGTTCCCTGGACGTTTGGGAGGCATTGACACTGTCCGAAGATGTCACATCCCTTCCAGGTCTCACTGCCGTACTGATCACATCCACATTCTGGAAGATGCAATTTAGGATATTAGAATAGCATCAAACCTACCAAATATCAATGGTATAATAGTGAATATACAATATAGTGAATGAGCATTTTTGCCACACTTAGCTAAGTTCAGGATACAACAAACAGTGATTAACAGATACAGTTGGAGATACATACTAGTAATGAAACTATCTATAGATTCAAATTCTATCTCGTTTTTTCAGTTATAGAGATAAGCTTTCAGAAGAGAGATATTTTTCGATGTTTTCGATGGAAGGTTTGTCTAGTTCTATTAGGAATATGAATTTTTCTCTAGCTCTAGGAAATAGAGAAATCCGTTCTGTACAAAACTATACAGCATGGTTAGCGGTTAGCATTGAGTACACCATCTTCGTGTGTTTTAAGACCAGGTTAATACGAGTTTTACAGGGGAATGTACACCGCCTCAGGCGATAGGTCGCAATAACGCACAGTCTGGACTTACACAATATTTACGACATTCTAAAGATCAGCATTACAATGGCCTGGTACGCTGCCGAGGTGATCTGATCTTATAGGACAATCTCAGTATTCGTCCGTATAGATTGTTCATGAAGTCCATTGTAATATTTGTAGTTACCAGTACTAGTGTACGGTTGGTTTCGTTATTCAGTAGACGTTATGAGAGCAAAGGTAAAAAAAGTCATCTGTCGTTAGATTAGTTTTGGGAGGCATGAACTAACTTGAGTCAAGTTTGAGTCTTTATCTAATGAAATGTTGAATAATTTCATTTTTTCCGGGGGTGGTGTTTGATATGATAACCTATTACGACACTCCTTTTCACGGTGCTTGACTCACGGTTCGCCCAGGAAACGGCGGAGGAAGTGATGCACATGGCCCACCTGCAACACGACATACCTCTCCTTTCACCTTCCTACAAAGGAATCTAGTGGGATAATCTTGTCATTGAAGTCCTATAGACCTGACTAATGCATTACCACAAACCACATAAGCACTTCCCTGCCAAGCCCTGTTCACGTCGAGTTCTTCTCTTTTGGTGACACGGTTCTGTTGCAGGACGTAACGATACTGTACATAATCGTGCCGGTCATCAGAAGTCCACATGAAGTCTACCCACTAATTAGAAGACTAGCATGCGGTCACAAGTCTTCATGGTCAATTCACAGATTTATCTGCCTCCACTGTTCAAGTAACGCTTGAGCAGGCCCGAACAGCCCGGAGAGCATTCTTGTCATGCTACCCAATCAGCTGTGCAATTATCGAGAAGAAAGTCCGACAAGTCGGCCACCTTTCTAGACATATCAAGTAGACATTCGACAATACCGGTTCTTGTAGGACGCGAAATGATGTGCGTTGTCCCTCTATATTACGGTTGTAATGATTTTAAGTATGGGGTCTGCTTCAGAAGCCAGACTCTTTAACTGTGAGGAGCAGGGCATTTACTAGTACTATCTCACCTAGGTTAGTATTTCGTATCGTGGCCTAAGGCGACAAGGCGGCACTTTTGACAAATGGCTTGAGCTTCAGACTTACTTTTCGGACTGAAATGAATACAAGAAGGCTTGCCAGAAGATATAACCGGCCTGTAATATACGCAAAGGAAGGACAGCCGAGGTCAAAAGAGCACGGCGAAATCTGACACGTCCCTGGACTGAACAAAAGTCCAGTCACACAGTCACAATTATACTATTATCACGTCTCACTGCATACACTATCTAAAGGGTTCCAGGTGCAATAGTCCCGACTAAAATAGCTGAATCTATTCCAATACAACCTAAGATATTTCTATTGAACCATGACAATACTGTAACAGAGCTGTTTGTTGGGTGTTCTGCTTCCTGTTTGGTGTATTTTGTCGTAAATGTGAAAAGAAAGAAGTCCGGAAATCACTGTCTGACATCAACGCAAACAAGACTGGCCTCGTAGGTTTGTTAGTGTCATTACAATGATTGCTCTGACGGACTCTCTACTCTATTTTGTTAAGAATCGGCATCTAATGTTGACGACATTACAATGAACAACTGGATGGGGTAGGGTTGGGTTGGGCAAGAACCTTCGGATTTACACAACAATGCAAGTATGTCTTTTCTATAAGCTTTCCTTTTTTATCCAATTCGATTCTTGGAACTACTGCACACACAACATCCTCCATGGGACAGGCAGGGTTCTGTCACAAGCCCGTCTAAGTGATCTTTTCCTCGATCCGCAGAACCATGATCGTCGTTTGGGACAGACTGAAGAACTGAATTTTAAATAACCACCATCTAAGTCGAAGTTATGTTGTGCCTTTAACCTAAACGACTCACCTTGCTGCTTGGCGTCAGTGTCACCGTCCGCCTTGTCTACACCATCGATGCTGTCCCACAGCCAGTCAATGTCATAAAATCCGCAGCTTTGCTTCGACAGAAGCGCCACTAATAAAGCGCAGAGAAAAATCTTGCAGACGGCCATCTTGCCTCCCTTTCCGATCCGAACCGACTGCTCTGTCAAGTTTTTGTTTTGTTGTGCCCGAAGCAAGTTGACCAAGTCATAAGTAGGGGGTGTTGTCGGCAGTCATTCGACTATGATGAAATTGTTCGTTCCATATATAGGCATGGGTTCTACCTGTGCGGATGACGTCAGACCCAGGTGTAATGGCGCCCATCCTGTGTTGGTGTGAGCGCACCTCGGATCGCCCTGTGTGGAGGCGGGAACACACCTTGACAGTCACGGGCTGTGGTTTTGTTTCCCGTCTGGAGGGTACAGGGAGGAGGGCAGTCTTTCCATTGCACAGATCATGACGCACTCACTGACAACGCAATACAATTTCGTGATGTGAGAAACCCACCTTTTTATTCTGATTTCCACGTATGTGGACGGCGAAACAAGAAGTACAGGTGGTTGTCACTTTTTCACGTTGTACCACCAATCCATGGCAGGGACAACACAATTGTAAGAAGGGGCAGTGCTACGACATATCCCACTGACTCTGTTGGACTTAAACATACATAAATCATTTGCAATTGTGTAATATGTGCACTTAAGTCTCATTTTTTAATTAGCACACCTAAACGTCCTTCAGGAGACACACGTGTGACCTCTCTGCTCATCGTGACTCATTAACCTTTTGCGTGGTTTTAGTAAGGAGTGGTAGAATAGAATTTTCTAAGAACATATGCATGACATGTCAACCCAGACTGCCCAACAAACGTAGCACTTCTTGATCGAAGAAAAGTTGGAAGTCGGTCAAAATGTTTGTATTTTTGAGCATTTGTTTCGCATTTCTTGGTTTTGGCTGAGATGGGCGGGGCTATAAGAACAGAAGCCATCGCTATTCAACCTTAACATTTCTTGCACAGATATCATAACCACAGCTCTAATCGAGCAAAAAAACCTCATGTGCAATTTCCTTTAGTAGCCCTGTGTGCATTGTGAACTATTTAATTTGAAAACCTTTGCAAACAAGCACAGGAAAGTCACACTGTAACGTAATATTATCAAAAGCGACCTGAAGATTTAGTTCCCCTGCTTGTACAATGAAAAGTATTAAAAGTATTGTTCTATAATTCAGTACACACTTCCCTTTGTTTAAGGGAGTAACGTTACTCTGTTATTATTCTCCAACCAAAGGTTTGACCTTCGCCTTATTTTTGGCGTATTTTAGGCATTTTAGGCTCCCTTTTTTGTTACTGTCATTTTTTACGTCCAGCCCAACAAGTGGATTCTCACTAGACACTACTGTTTGGCAAATGGATACTGCCTGGCAAACTTGTTACTCTTTGCAGCCACCGAAAGATCTGTCTGGAGATTACCCTGTTATGTCTTTGGGACGCACCACCTGAGGGCTTGATATTTAGGTAATCGCCATCTTGCGTTGAAGATATGTAATTTATATAATAAGAACTGTTGGTCAAACGATGGTCGTACAGTCACAAAATCGATCATTCTGGGGATAGTTGAGCATGCTTCTTGCGACGAACAGAATTCGATTATCTTTTTACCGAAAATCTGCCCATGATCCTTATGTCGCCGGCTTGTTCTGTCACAACCCGCCTGAAAATCCGACATCGACATCAAAATCGTAGGACGACCTACGGCGTATGCGAACAGGTCCTAATGCCAAGGACTCACCTTGCGTGAAAACATAGTCCGTCTCATCGTAGTCGACGCCGCTGATCTCCCACAGCCAGTCCGTGTCATCATAGAAACCACTGCTCTGCTTTGATAGAAGCATCACTAACAAACAGAGAAAAACCTTGCAGACAGCCATCTTGCGTTCCTTCTACCAACCCACGTCAGACCGACTGTATTGTCAAGTTGTTTTGCAATGCCTGAAGCCTCCTGGATTGATCCCGAGGCTATCTGTATCTTCTGTCAGCACGTTTGCAATGCAAGTATGTCTTTTCTATTAAGCTTTCCTTTTTATCCAATTCGATTCTTGGAACTACTGCACACACAACATCCTCCACGGGACAGGCAGGGTTCTGTCACAAGCCCGTCTAGATCCCTCTAAGTGATCTTTTCCTCGATCCGCAGAACCATGATCGTCGTTTGGGACAGACTGAAGAACTGAACTTTAGATAACCACCGAGAGTCTAAGTCGGAGTTATGTTGTGCCTTTAACATAAACGACTCACCTTGCTGCTTGGCGTCAGTGTCACCGTCCGCCTTGTCTACACCATCGATGCTGTCCCACAGCCAGTCAATGTCATAAAATCCGCAGCTTTGCTTCGACAGAAGCGCCACTAATAAAGCGCAGAGAAAAATCTTGCAGACGGCCATCTTGCCTCCCTGTCACCGTCCGATCCGAACCGACTGCTCTGTCAAGTTTTGTTTGTTGTTGCCCGAAGCAAGTTGACCAAGTCATAAGTAGGGGGTGTTGTCGGCAGTCATTCGACTATGATGAAATTGTTCGTTCCATATATAGGCATGGGTTCTACCTGTGCGGATGACGTCAGACCCAGGTGTAATGGCGCCCATCCTGTGTTGGTGTGAGCGCACCTCGGATCGCCCTGTGTGGAGGCGGGAACACACCTTGACAGTCACGGGCTGTGGTTTTGTTTCCCGTCTGGAGGGTACAGGGAGGAGGGCAGTCTTTCCATTGCACAGATCATGACGCACTCAACAACGCAATACAATTTCGTGATATGAGCTGAGAAACCCACTTGTTTATTCTGATTTCCACGTATGTGGACGAGGCAACAAAATATAGGCGGTTGTCACCTTTTCACGTTGTCACCACCACCAATGGCAGAGACAACACAATTGTAGGGAGGGGCAGTGCTACGACATATCTCACTGAGTCTGTTGGACTTAAACATACATAAATCATTTGCAATTGTGTAATATGTGCACTTAAGTCTCATTTTTTAATTAGCACACCTAAACGTCCTTCAGGAGACACACGTGTGACCTCTCTGCTCATCGTGACTCATTAACCTTTTGCGTGGTTTTAGTAAGGAGTGGTAGCATAGAATTTTCTAAGAACATATGCATGACATGTCAATCCAGACTGCCCAACAAACGTAGCACTTCTTGATCGAAGAAAAGTTGGAAGTCGGTCAAAATGTTTGTATTTTTGCGCATTTGTTTCGCATTTCTTGGTTTTGGCTGAGATGGGCAGGGCTATAAGAACAGAAGCCATCGCTATTCAACCTTAACATTTCTTGCACAGATATCAAAACCACAGCTCTAATCGAGCAAAAAAACTCATGTGCAATTTCCTTTAGTAGCCCTGTGTGCATTGTGAACTATTCAATTTGAAACCTTTGCAAACAAGCACAGGAAAGTCACACTGTAACGTAATATTATCAAAAGCGATCGACCTGAAGATTTAGTTCCCCTTCTTGTACAATGAAAAATATTAAAAGTATTGTTCTATAATTCGGTACACACTTCCCTTTGTTTAAGGGAGTAACGTTACTCTGTTATTATTCTCTAAGCAAAGGTTTGACCTTCGCCTTTTTGGGCGTATTTTAGGCGTTTTTATCGGGCTCCCTTTTTTGTAATGTCATTTTTTTTACGCCAGCCCAACAAGTGGATTCTCACTACTCTTTGGCAAATGGATACTGCCTGGCAAATTTGTTACTCTTTGCAGCCACCGAAAGATCTGTCTGGAGATTACCCTGTTATGTCTCTAAGACGCACCACCTGAGGGCTTGATATTTAGGTAATCGCCATCTTGCGTTGAAGATACGTAATTTATATAAACTGTTGGTCATACGATGGTCGTACAGTCGCAAAATCGCTCATTCTGGGGATAGTTGTGCATGCTCTTGCGACGAACAGAATTCGATTATCTTTTTACCGAAAATCTGCCCATGATCCTTATGTCGCCGGCTTGTTCTGTCACAACCCGCCTGAAAATCCGACATCGACATCAAAATCGTAGGACGACCTACGGCGTATGCGAACAGGTCCTAATGCCAAGGACTCACCTTGCGTGAAAACATAGTCCGTCTCATCGTAGTCGACGCCGCCGATCTCCCACAGCCAGTCCGTGTCATCATAAAAACCACTGCTCTGCTTTGATAGAAGCATCACTAACAAACAGAGAAAAACCTTGCAGACAGCCATCTTGCGTTCCTTCTACCAACCCACGTCAGTCGACTGTATTGTCAAGTTGTTTTGCAATGCCAGAAGCCTCCTGGATTGATCCCGAGGCTATCTGTATCTTCTGTCAGCACGTTTCAAACCTACTAATTAAGAGGTCAGAAAGAACACAGTTACAGAATGGGGTGATAAGAAAGAAAACAATGAAAACAACGAAGGGTGGTATTACAAAAAGAAAAATATATCAAACTTTTGCTGCAGGTGTAATGTATTTGAATTTCGCGGCTATCTAAAATGTTCTATGTAGTGTATCATCAGTGCACTGTTTCTCTTAAGTCTTTTTCCTTAGCTGACACCCAGCGCTCCTTCAAAAGAGCACGTGTGACCTGACTGTCCACCCTAGCTGTCACTCATCCTTGAGCTGGTTCACAAATAAGACTGCGCATGCCCAATATCAAAGGTGAGGGTCCCCTAGAGGTAAGCAAAACACGTGAGAGGATCCCATAGCCCCGTCAAAACGTAAAAATGCAAAATAAAATTATAGAAATTCAAATATTGTCGCATTCTGTTAACGTCTCGGAGGCCTTTGTCTTTGACATTGGGCATGAGCTCTCGTACTTGTGAGCGTCCTAATATGGTATTAAGGCGTGGTTACGAACTTTTCACATACATAAAGATTGATTCCAACTGTCCATCTTTAATTAAATCTAGCAGTTTATCAAAACGAGATTGTTAGCAGGTCGTCGTAACTTCTCATTTCTATGTTTTCTTTTACACCTCTTGGTTTTGACATAAGATTTTCCAAACAGAACTTGTCTCCATTCAGGTTACTACTAGTTAGTGAGTATGCTTACTACATTTTGCCCCACGAATCTTAAACCAATGACCTCTTAATATCTAATTAGGACTTAATATGTGGAAAATCGTCATATAACACATAGGTGCCAGTCGGAAAATCTGGAGCAAAAATAAAAGGTAAGCACAACTCCTGAAGTATATTTTACAAGATTTATTTCCCCATGTCATGTACAATGAAAAATATCAAACGTATAATAACTAACTCCGTACACACTTCCCCCAAGATAAGGGAGTTCTCTGTTCTTTACTGCTTCTACTGGGTTTTCTGGAGTTAACAAAACATACGACTCTCCACAGGGCAATGGTCTTCCTTAAAATACTATGTCAATCACTCTTTGATCAGAATTTTCAATATATACTGTATTGTCACAAATCAAAAGTAGAAGGTTTCTTGATAGGATAAGTTGTGAAGAAATGGTGTAATGAAGGTTTGGATGTTAGAATTACTGGCATGTTCCTCTGTGGAGAGTTTTAGTCTATGCAACACTACATCAGAGAGAGAACAGTGGTGATGTAACATTGTGACTTGGCAACAAAATGGTCGGACCTGACTTAGTATTGTGAGAAGTATATGAAGTACATACCAAAATAACTTATGTCTCTTCCTTTGTCAAAAAATGTTCGATAAAAACACAGTCAAACAAAACACCTCTTGTAAGAAATAGGCAACAGAAATAATATGTTAATGACATCTAAAAGGGTAGGTTAAAAACAGTACCATACATAAGACTAAATTCAAAAATTATACATACAAACTCCCACCAAATTCCAGTGGCTAGCATATACATGGTGCAAATAGTCTGCACCAGTGCTTATGCAGGCACTCTCTACAGAATAGGCAGCTATGGACAAGAACTACGGCTACATTTATAATACTAGTGCAGCTAATACTTTTGATGTAAGTCCATGTGGTGGCGATACACTTGGTTTAAAGTCTAGGCACTTGGCGAGGCAACTACACTGCACAACACTATGTTCACCTTTACATACAGCGTCATGATCTTAGCCTTATTGCTGAGCCAGGTTACCATTAAATACTAGCACCCTTGAATGCATATAACCTTATAAAGATATATATACTGGATAGGAAGGTGGCAGACATTCCCAAATACACACTAAAAGAAACTCATCCAAAATAATGTCGTCCAAAGTTAAGTTCTAGTCTACCTATGCGATAGCTGCCACCTCATCTTATATATTTACATGATTAGCCCATCCCACAAGAATGGATATCAGATCTGCGTGGTTGTTCTCAAGACTCGTGAATGATATCAATTCCAGGAGATTATTTCTATAAGTACATCCGCAAAGATGCTAGATGCTGCCCCCCTCCCACCCTAGTTTCAAGAATAGGAATACTGCTGCATATAATATCTAAACCCTGAAGAAAACTGCTTGTCCTATTCGAAATAAGGATCTCAAATGAATATGTTTATCCTCTTTTAGAATAGAAAGATACCAATTTGGTTAACTATCAAAATAAGGTCTGGCAGCCCTACCAAATATGGGAAGCCACACCTGCCAAATAAGGAGGCATAACAGATCAACAAAGTGGATACATCTTGTATCAATCAACTATTACATTGCTTTCCTTTAAGTATGTAACAAGGATTTTGTCAGTATTTGGTTACTTTCTGCATGGATTTCTAGGTTGATTTGAGGTTCATTGATTTGTTTGTTTCTGTTACTGTACCATGCTGTCAGTTTGCATATGATACAACAAAAACATGCTGCATGGGTCTGTCATAGTGGTAGGCTGCTGGAAAGGTTTGGGGGAAATATCACTGTACATGTCATAGATACCAGATAGGCTTTAGCTCTTCACTCAGGAGAAATCAAGAAATCCTGACATTCTCATCAATAAGGAAGAAGAGTTTTCACTGTACTGTTTGCATCAGGATGGGCTTTTCAGACATTTTGAAATACCTTAACATTGTAGATGATGTATTGGTTGTTTGATGTAAATCCTAGTGATATCCCCAGCAAACCTGACCCAGACTGACTCATAGTGCCAGTCACTTCTACTTCAGGATAAATAGACCTTCAGCTACAATAGAAGACATGAGGCATTCCCTTGGCAAGTTGTGCATTTCTCGGGTGGAAGACAGGATGGAGATAAAGACATGTTCCTTGTGTAGACAACAGTTATGGCTGGAAGAAGTGGTAAACTGAGAGAATGCGTCATGTCTCCGATATGAGCACCAGTGGAATATTCCCTGATGGAGGCTTTACGTGTCCTCCAGGCCAGGCTGTTTGAAGCAGCCGTCGGGAAGCGAGCGGCTGATTTCCTCCAGGTTGGCCACTTCTCTCTTCATGTTTTCTAGCTCGGCGTCAAAGTTACCAACGGTATTCTCCTGATCAGTCATGAGTCGTCTGATGTTGAGCATGAGTTGGTTGATCTGTAATGCGTCCAGTTGAGCCTTCAGGTCGTTATACTCGTCCTGTAGTTCCTTCAGTTTGTCTGTATCCGGGGCCTCGATGTTATCTGTAAGGAACAGGCAGGGGGGGGGTGTAAGTTCACTTTTTAGACAATTCTGCTACTGGTAAATGAATACCCCTCTGAAACAACTGTGCAGACATTTCTTCAGGGATTCCATGCTTGATAAAGATTTTGCATGCAGTGGCAGGCTTAAAATATCTGTTTGAGGTGATGGTTACTAACTAAAATTTCAAAGTGCACAAAAGGTAATAGTTCATTCTGTGATTACAGATGCAAGCAAACTTGCTGAAACCACAGAATGAGAAAGCAAATTAACAACCAAACAAAACCTACAACCATGCTTGAGTTTTCTACACAATGCTCTACAACTATAATGTTCAAAACACAGTAGCCAGTGTGCCCTTCCATGCCCAGCTGTTGTGGATGGAATGAGAAGGGCAGAAAGACTACCACACTTCAGACTGTGCCTACAGCAAAACTCTAACAACAATTCTTCCATGCACTCACACTCAGCAACACAGACAATACATGTATGTGTTTGCAGGCATGTTAACTACTGGGGGTTGAAGATATGGACGTATGTCAGACCTTCATCCATGAACATGCAAAACTCATCTGTACAACTTGCAACACTTGAAAAGGATTATTCATCAACAGACATCGTGATAATGTGAGAGAACATAAGTAAGCAAGCAGCATGAGTCCACAGCACACAGGTTACAGAAATCATCACATCATACAACTACAGAGGCAGGGGTGAGGTCAGTGTGGAAGCTACCCATGGGTTCTCTAGACACTTTGGATAGACAAACTGTACATCACTTTGAACTTGTCAGGTAATCTTTTGGAAATATACATGTACTCTAATAAGTATTTCCATGACAATGTTTCTTCTTTGTAGAAGTACATGTAGCTATTGTATATAGGACATACATGTAGCTAGTTGTGTCCAAACATCCCTAATGTCATCATAATCACTGCTGTTTTGGGTTACATATTAATGCCTACATGTAAGACTCTAAAAAATTTGTTGTCAACAACTGGAAAATAGTAACTTCCGTCAGATCTTTGTGTCTGAATGAACGAACCCATGGGAGGCTCCAGTTCAGGACTGCAGCACCCCCTACCTCTACAGCTGTTCTATCTTCTGTGGTCTGAAACATCCGTCGGGGAGGGAACGCAGAATCTCTTCCAGATTCCGGATCTCAGACATGACGTCTCCGCGCAGGGTTTCGTAATACGAGAGCAGGCGGCCCTGTGCGCGGGCGTCGATCCTCAGGTTGGCGATGATGGCGTTGATGGAGTCGGGGTCCAGCTCGCCCTTGATTCTGTCGTACTCCGCCTGCACGGCTCGCAGACGGCCCTCGTCCACCCCGCCACTGCCACTAAACCTGTCTGTAGTGCAGCCAACACACACCAGCTCACATGTCTGTCTCAACTTTCTGTACCTCACAACAGGTGGGGTCTCCAAGCGGTCAAACCACAAATTCTACCAGACTGTTGATCCAAACCTACTCATCAGAAACCTTTCTTTCTCCAAGGCAATCAATAACATCATTATCTAATCAGTAAATTTGGACCAACAATTCTGTAGGAATATTCATGTGACTGTTCAATCGTCTGAATGGTTTGAGATGAGGACTCGGTGGAGGTAAGGAGCGGGCATCCATCGTCATCATCATCGATCCTGGAACTGCGTCAACACTGGTTCAGCCAGGGGGAGAATCAAAGGCAGGGGACGACCAGAACTAAACATGGTCGCACATCCACCACGGACGGGGCAAACCACACCGTCAGAAGCATGCTACTGCAAGCAGGCAAGCCATCGGCACTCGTCAAAACCATTTTCACTTGGTTTAGAGTTAGTTATAGATCTCTCCACATTGCAAAGACAGACAGGGCAAGCTGTTAGGCACATCAACACCAGGCAAATGTCTACTGATATCTGTGTGAGCATCAGAAGAGACACACAGTTGTGAGAGGTACATTGTACATGTACAACAACCACACAAGCCATGGCATGCTGGAAAAAGCCATGCCATTGAAGTATTGTCTGCTCTACCGAAGAGAGCATGCCGTTAGTGGGTGTTAAGATGTAGTATGAACAAAATAGAGAGAAAACCTCTGCAGTATTTTGTGCCTGAAGACACACATAGACGTAAGACTTTCAACAAATCCACTTAAGTAAAGATAGAGAAGCCATACATGTAGAAGGTCACATTCAGGAACAGTTACAAGGTTAGTGTAAATCCAAATGCACATACAGACTAAGCACACAGATACTGATGAAGTACATGTTACATGCTTAAAGGACAGGTCCATGCAGGGTATGGGGAACCATGTATAGTGGGTCTTAGAAAAATAGGAAAGGTACGGTAAAACATTGTGGGACTGAAAAAAAAGGAAAGAGTGAAATGCACAGCTGAGATCTCTGTGCCTGTCTGTGAAGAGATGGAGTGAGAAACAGCCTGACCTTGGAGGCTGGAAGAGAGGAAAACATGGTGAGATGATGACAGACATGAGAGAGGTGCAGGAAAAGAAAAAAACATCATACAACAGAGAAATAAAAACATGTTGTACAGTAAGTGAATTCTTGCAGTGCAGAACGTCTAATTCAGACTTCACTTCCACTTTTCCACAAGTTGCTATTACACCATTTGGTCCAGCAATTGTAGGTTGAAAAAAAACAACAGTGCCACATAAAAGATGCCTCGTAATGAAAAATATCCCTCAGTTATCTGTCTGTTTTACTCAGAGAAAGAAGCCCTGTGAAACGAGAAAAGCTGGCTTTTTCTATAAAGCAAAAGGAGTTCCTAAGAATAACCATCTTGTTTTATAAAACACAACTGTTCATACATGTATAACATTATGATAAGTCATAACAAAGCCATCTTGATACATGTAGAAACACCACAAACTAAACCCTGTGTAGTGTCCAGGTATTCTGATAGTGACGTGGTGACAACACATGGTTCACTTCAAAGTACATGTACATACCCAGTTGATCCAGGATCTTGTTGACTCTGTCCAGTGTACCTTCCACCTTGCCCATGGCCAAGTCTGCTTTCCTCTGGGCATCATTAGCAGCAGCCATTGCCTGAGGGGGAGGAAGAAGACATCAGCATTGTCAAATAACAACTTGATGTTACAGTACTGTTAGCTAATCCTTCCTTTGGGCCAAAAGGTACATTAGATCTTTCCAGAGCAGGTACCATCTTTCATAGAGGCTGGAATCTTACATTTGCAAATGCTATCAAATGGCAGTTAATAACCCTCATTTACCATCACTTTATCTAGGGTACTGTCTGTAGAAATGTTCACATCTTCATTTTTCAAGAGTTCACACAAAGGTTGATGTTACTAACAGCATTGACTCTTGTCTCGTCGTCATCTGCCTGTCTCTTCTTCTGGTTGAAGGTGTTCTCGGCGCTGTCCACGTCTCCCTTCAGTTCGTCTGCGTTGTTGTTGAGGGCAGCGGCCTGGGCATAGATCGTGTTGGCATCCTCCTTCACCTGCTTGGCATCCTGGATAACATATGCAAGGGTACTGTGTCAATATAAGAAAACTCACCACAAAATACAAGCTTCAGCTTGAAGAAAGAGTAACGTAATGTTGGGATCATCTTTGGTCATCTTTAATCAAAATTTGTTATCTTTCACTTAAAAATGTTTTAACTCGACATAGACAAAAAATTATGTTTGTGAGGAAAAAAAATTATGTTTGTGAGGAAAAATAAATATGTTTGTGAGGAAAAAAAATTATGTTTGTGAGGAAAAAAATTATGTTTGTGAGGAAAAAAATTATGTTTGTGACAAAAACATTATGTTTGTGACAAAAACATTACGTTTTTAAGAAAAACTTATGTTTGTGTTGAAAGATAAATTCTGCAGGTTCTGGGAATCCCAGCCCACTTACAGCGGCTGCCCCCTCGGCTATCTGTTTGGCCTGCTCTGCAGTTTTCTTGGCGGTCCTGGCGTCGCTGTCTGCTGACCCCAGGGCTTCCTCGGCCTGGTCAGTGGTGGCCACGGCCTCGTCGATGATCCTCCTGATCTCAGCCTCCTTCCCCAGGGCCTCGTCTGCCTTGTCCTTACTCTCCTGGACCTTGGCCTCGAAGTCTGGGGAGAAAGTAAGAAGGATTTTAACATGACAGGAACAAAAGAGTGACTTTCGTACAGAAATCAAATGACAAGCTCAAACAAATTGGCCTGGGTGCCATCCAACTGGCATACTGGGGCTCCAATAGTCACTCCCTAAAATTAATTGTTTGAGACTGAGTATGGGAGCCTCTGTATACAAATAGGATGGCTACTAACTAATCTATTTCATGACATTTAGTATGACTCAGAGAAACCTTCACCTACTGTATGTGCCAATCAAATTACATTTCCAGACTAGGACAAAGTGTTCCACTCACTGCTGAGGTACTCCAGTGTCTTCTGAGCCTCTCCCAGAGTCTCCCTGCCCTTCTCCTCTGCCTGCTCAGCCTTGTCGTTAGCGGCATCAGCACGGGCCAGCAACTGGTCAATAACCTGTCATAGGAGGAATCAAAACATTATACGATCTTCTAAGGGTCTTGAGTTGACATAAGATACTTCACACCACATTATGAGATAAGGGGTGTAACTACAAACTACACCGTATGTCTAGGCAGCTGTAGGTAATGAACTGACCACGAGAAACAACATTCAAAACTGCCTGGCAGTATAGCTCGACTCGTGATACACTTTACTTATCTTACTGGTAGACTAGAGTTAGGATTTGACTGGAAACTGGAAAGCTGTCTCACTGTTCTTGATTTGATTTGATTGCAACTGTAATAATACAATGCACATGGGACACAGGCAGCTATTGCTGTTGTTCCTTAAATCAGTATATGTTACTTTTCATAATCCAGAGATATATTGCAATTTCTTTGGATGTTCAAGTCCCTTGATCTGTAGGATGCTTTACTCACATCCTGCTTGTCCTGGGCATCCTTCAGCAGCTGTTCTGCAGCGTCGTAGTTCTCGTTGATGTCGTTGACGGTCTGCTGGTTGTCTGTCTCCAGCTTGGCGATGTCGGGGATCAGAGAGTTCTCCGCCTCGTCCTTGATGGCAGCCGTCTGTCGCTTCAGGTCCTCCACGTCGATGTTGGGTTGGCGGGCCTGAGAGTTGGCCAGGATCTTGGTGGCGCGGGCGGCGCTGGCCTCGGCATTGGCTAGAGCATCAGCTGCCTCCCGGTTCACCTTGTCCAGCTGCTCTTCTGCGTCCTGCAGCCTGTGGTACAAGAGGGTACATGAAATGTAACAATAGTCAGAAATGCTTAACTTTCTCCATGCTGCTTAACCCCATAACCAACACAGAATTAGTAGCCAAACGTTACATAACGTTATGAAACATCTTACTCCAAGTCAAAAATGCTATCATCAAATTTGTGCTAACTTCTCTTCAACTGTTATACTTGTGACCAGATCCCTAACTACTTTTAAAAGTTAGTCATAACAACACAATCTACAACAACTTCTTGCAGTTCCAGATTGAGAACATATCTACTCACTTCCTCTCCAGGTCAGGTATTCTCTTGTTGGCGATGTCCCCTTGTCCAGCCAGAGCATCCCTCACAGCCTTCAGGGCATCCTTGGAGGTCTGCAGGGCCTGGTTGGCTGTGTCTTCAATAGCCTGGGCATCCTCAGTTTGACTGGGTACAAAGAGAGAAACATGATCATTAAAACACATGTGTTATGCCGAGGGGCGGTTACACTGGCTATAAAGATCTGATACAAAAATTCATACTTGAATGATCAGGGAACAGGGCTGAGATATGCATTTCTTAAAATGAAATAACTCAACCAAAAGAATTACAGAAGAACTACAGCAGACAACTTACTCGTTTGCCAGCTCCTTGGCCTGCTCTGCCAGTTCCTGCATCTCCCTGGAGCCCTGGCCGAAGTTAGCAGCAGCCTGTTTGGCTTCCTCCAGCGCTTGTTTACCCTGGTGAGTAAAGGTAGGGTTGAACATACTTCACTTCTCACCATGACCAAAATGAAGAAAATCTATGAAGAAAAGTAGACAAAAACTAGACAAAACTTAGTGAAACAGATATTTAGTAAATTAATGTTCACTATCATTTCACTCATCGATTCTGAGTCAATTTATGCAAAACCATATGCACTTGTACACATATAAAACTTGATTCTTGCTATAGATGACAAGTAAGAAGGCTCAGTACATAACACACACCTCGTTGTCCAGGTAGTTGTTTGCCTCCCGGAGTTTGTCCTGGATCCGGCGGATGGTCTCGTCGGCATCCTGCACCTTGACCTTGGCATCATTGGTGGTGGCCTGGGCGTTGTTCTTGGCCTTCTCAATCTCGTTGACCTTGCCACGGAGAGCGTCCAGGGCTTGGCGAAGGGAGTCAGCATTGATGCCAGCGCCTCCTGTTGTTTGGGGAAGGAAGTGCAGTCAGGCTAACTGACAGATACCAACATGGCAACATTGTAACAAGAAGGTGCAGTGAAACATAAGGCAACTTAAAGGCATCCAATGCAATTTCAGAGTGAAAATACAAAAAATATTCTGGATGAAAACATCTGTCTGATATTGACAAATTACTGCTATTTCATAGCACATGTTCATCATCATTTCATACTGGAAGCATTTGAAATAGCCTCAAAACAAGCTAAGTGAGGAATTCTTTATTTTTTGATACCTACAATCATGTGTACGGCTATCTTTTCTATTTTTTCTTTCTCCGAATCCATTCAGATTCATATTTCAATTCTCCTGCATGTTCTACTGAGAATGAACCTTGACCTACCAGCTGCCTTGCGGGCCTCGTTCAGCAGGTCCTTGGCCAGCTCCTCCACCTGCTTCAGACGCTCCTCAAACTTCTGGTCGTTGATGAGGTCAGGGTTCACCCCGACGTTGTTGATCAGGTCACGCAGCTGGCGAAGTTTCTCGCGGTGCTCGTCCACTTTGTCCTGAACCAGGCCGTAGCAGGCTGGGCACTCTGGGTAGATTAACCAAAATTACATGTCAATGTACATGTCACAACAAGAGCTGGCCTGCAAAGATTTCTTTGGTAAAAGATTTGTGTCCTAGAGAAAAGTCAACACGGATACTAAGGGGTTGCTAGAAAATATGGGTTATGAAAGAAAAGAAAGAGGAAAACGATAGATGAAGAAGTTTAGAAAAAAAGAGGGAACCAGAATGAATGGAGTTATGAGTGTAGATTCATCTAGGAGGAAATAATTCTTTCTTTTATTCATCAGGTAATCAGAACAAAGGGTACAGGACCTTTTAAGGGCACTGAGGCACCACTGGAATGCTTATGGTTGAGTGAGAATCACACCCAATGCCACACAATTACAGTCATCAAATTTAGACATGGTGAGAAAAAAAAGCCTTGTGTATACAGTATTCACTCTGAGTGTCTGCTTCAGTGTAATCAAATTATTATCAAAGACATCATGTGGAATGGTTAGATGGCTTCATAAAAAAAAAACAAGTATTCTAGCTGTTCATTATTGATAAGAGGGAACAGCACTATGGGGACACAATGCATTAGGGGCTCTGATAGGGGGGGGGGCACCCTGCAAATCAAAGCAGAAGTGAAGGATGCTCAATGAAGAAATTCTTAAAATGGAGGCAATACAGGCCAAGGAAAGCAGCTTGCCATACTTTGCTTGGCCTTGCTTTACTCCATCATTTGAAATTTGTTATATGGACCTTTGGACTCTAATTCTGTGCAAGAGAAACATATATTTTTGGAGTTCAAATATGAAGAATTTTTGAACATCCTTCAAGTTATTGCAGACAGCAGGGAACTGTGACCAAAATGGACAAACCTCTTGGCCGGTAACTCTGGGCTAAAAAGAACAAGACATCACAAAAAAGAAGACAGTTTAGAACAGACACAAAAAATCACTTTAATCAAATTTTCTTCAAGTTAAAGGCATATCTTACTTTTCTTCAAAAGTCAAGTAACATATGCCTTTAAATTGCCTGACTCATCATGTACGTTGGTACATAAAAAGGAATGTGGAAACATACCAATGCAACCACGAGCTACATCGTAGTAGTTCTCCTTACAAGCATCACACTTGTCTCCGACGACCCCCTCCCTGCACGGGCAGCGCCCAAACTCATCACATTGGAGCCGCAGGGAGCCGCGAGGGTCACAGTCACAGGCTGGGGACAAAACAAACATGTGGGATCAATATGACATCAAAGGAAAAATGTTATGGTGTCAAAATTTAAACTTCCAATCATTCAAGGTTAGAACAAATTTTCAATTTCTCTACATCTGAGGCTAGTTTAGCCTTTCAGTTTTGGCTAGTTCCTTTGAAATTCAGTTTTGAGGCTTTCTTCATTCAAAAGAAGTCAGAAAAAGAAACTAACAAAAGAAACTGACATGGAAATTTACAGTTCGACACAGCAGTTATCTTAGAAACACTTTCATATGCATTCAGTTTTCAGGCTTTCTTTTCATTTAAAAGAAGTTTTGAGGCTTTCTTTTCATTTAAAAGAAGTTAGAGAGTATATGAACAAAACTAACTGACATGGAAATTTGCAGTTCTACACAGAGGTTATTTTAGATTATGACTTAAAAAACATCTACATTCTGCATAATTAAATTACATAAGAATTCCCCTTTATTGAGTGAAAAAAAAAGTTTCTACGACTCACCAGTGCAGCCAGTAGAGGAGAAGCCATAGTGGTTGGCGAGGCACTTGTCACACCTCCGGCCGCCCACCCCAGGCTTACACTGGCACTGACCACTGTTCAGCTCACAGCTGGTGTCCAGGGAGCCGGTCTGGTCACAGTCACACTGCTCACAACCTGAACCACTGTTGATGTTCCAGTAGCCATCAACACACCGGTCACATTGTCTAGGGATACAGAACAACACAACAAGTCAGAAATACAGAAATATATTTCTTAGCTGAAATAAATATTTGGAACAAATGGAAGAAGGCTGTAAATCAAACTTGGAATCTTCAACAACCTTTTGAAGTCAAATGTAACATATTAGCTTGAAAGTTTGTCTGTGTTGGTACATAGAATATGCCACATAACAAAAGCTTCCAAAACAAAAAAATAGTGCATCATAATTTTATCATCAATTTCATGGGATTTTTCAATCATTGCTGATGTCACCTGTCTGTAAGGTCATGTGATCTACCGTGTAGGTCATTTGACTGAGGAAGACTGCAAAACAGATAGAAGAAGATACAAGATTATGAGACAGTTGCACAGTATGGATTAAGGAATGGTACTCACAGGCCCACCACGTTGGAGAGACAGGGGCACTGGCCGGTGGTCTGGTCACACTCTCCTCCTACCTGGGTACCAAACTGGTAACAGTTGCATGCTGGGGATAGAAAAAAAAAAGATTTGTTAACTAACTGTTGAAAGTGAAGTCAAAACAATGAATTAACATGCAGAACTTATACTGAAGACATAGATTTGGGGGTTAGCTTTTAATATAAAACTTGCTCTGGCAGTGGTGTACCTCTCTCCCTTAGGTTCACACTGGTAAATGTGCGTGCCTATGCACAGATAGTATTCACATTCCTTGTTTTAGTTTGCTGACCTCTGACCCTCTGAGATCACAGAGAATCTATCACTAGCCTAACCTGTATGTCCAGTTACACCAGTGACCAGTACATATACAGCACTATATGTAAATTGTCTATGGGCAATTAACCAAACATGCTGTCCATTTGCAATACAGTAATGAAACACATACAGTACAGCACTTTACACATGTAACCACCAAAGGGTCAAAATGGTCTACATAATACAATCTTTTGAAGACATCTTGATTAAAAAATGATGATGATGAATTAGCTGAATCAATTCCTTCTGATTGTCTTGGTAGTCTTATGTACCACTATCTCACATACATGTATTAGCAATGCGCCCAAAAAATTCTAACATAGGCACCTACGTAAACCAACCACCACAAAAGCTTACAACATCATTGAGCTTTGCAAATTTGTTTCCTCATCTAATGCCACCTCCTAAGGCAACGGAAATTTCCTAAGACTGTATAATGTCCTTGTTAAGACACTGCTGGCTCATTTTCTTCCGGTATGACCTCTGGCCTGAAAGCCAATTAGAGAATGTTCCACCCAAGCCCTACTACCATCTGTGTACACACCTCCCTTTATAAGTCATCTACAGTAATTAAGAACTCAGTTGATAAACAAAACACACTAAACACTCAAATTAGGATCAGAGCTTGCTGAGAAACAAAAGGCAAGGCCTTGTTTTGTATCTACTTGTCTCAACATTTTTCATTCACAATTTAACAACACTGGAGAGAATCTTCCCCCCTTTGTGTCTCCATACATGTAATTGATGGGGAATAAAAGCCCACCAATTACAATTTATCTGTAGGCAGCAATACCTTACACCTTAGTCCACAGACACCAGGTATAGACACTAGATGAGTTCAACGGAACATCTATAGTCACACCAGCTAAGAAATTGCTGCTGAAGCCTGCAAAGAACTTTTCTTGAATATTCTTAATTTTTTTTAACACAGTGCTAATCTTTATGCCACTCAAGTCGAAGAAGCCCTTAGGCACCCTGTGCTGGTATGCAGGTATGGTCATTTATATCCATTTCTTTAACTCATCTGAGAAAACTTCCCTGTCCAATGAAGTTTGTTTAGCACTATCTAAAGAGAGTGCCACAAAGATTAAATGTTGATCCCTTAAGCACCTGTGAAGGACAATTTGCAGGTTGAGATGGCTGGATTGATATGAGATACAAAAGACAGGAAGTATTGTCTGGACGTGACATACTTCAACAGACAACATTATCCCAGCAAAAACCAGTAAGGAAACAAGACCATGGAATCCTGTACAAACCACAACTATATACACTTACATGTTGTGAAGTGAAAGAACATCTGGACTAGTTAATGGTGGCATTCCCTCTTTTAATCCACATACTGCTGGTAGCCTGGGGCAACTGTTCTACAATAATCCCTTTTGGAAGATGGATTATTCTTTCTTACATAAGTCACAGAACTTGTGAAAAAAAAACAGCTAAATTTTCAAAATGTATGGACTGAATTGTATCTCTAAGGGCTAGCTTACATTCTTTGGATGGCAATTTATATTCACAAAAAGTTCGTCCGATCTAACAGGAGATGATTTACCTGAAATGGGTACAGTAATTAAAGAGGAATGCTTCTGAAAAGAATCCCATCTGAATAGCCTTTATAGTTTCCCACAGCAAGCAAACACTTACATGCAAGTCCACACTACTAGTACCAGTAGTACTAAATCTCTGCCTACAGATGTAACCTCATGTCATGAATTGAACTGGATCCACCTGGGATGTCACACATGACCAAGTTTTTATTTGAATCTGACTACGTAAACAATTGAACATTTTGACTGTAATGAATAATGGCATCTGCCAGCTGTCCATTACACAAAACCCAGTGCTCAAAACCAGACCCAAACTTACACACTTTCTAGTAGCAGCTTTCATGTTTTCCAAACTACTATTAACTGTCTTGTTTGAAAACTGCCGATATTAGGATACCTGTAGTTATTTCTTTATGCAGGTAGTACTTAGAGGAGCACAGAGACGTGCATGACTTAGCACGTGATATTCCTGCTACAAGACCTCCAAACATCTTATTAAAAATGACTTTCCCTTTTGCCTTTTGGAGCCCTTTCCTACCCAACTGCCTTCCTGAAGTACTCAGAAACAAGGACAGGTTGCAGTCAACATTCTACATCTACCATTATGTAGAAATGTTCCACCTCCTGGGTGATGGTGATAGAACATACCTTTCGGCACCAATCCTTCCTCTGCATCTGTTTCCGTATCTGTATCTGCTGGTAAGTCTGTTAAGTCTGGTAAGTCTAAGTTATCAGTGAGCCAACTTAAGTCAAAGTCGAAGTAACCTTGACCAAGGCCAGGAGAACTCAGGACAACGAGCACAAAGAGAAGCACCTCCTTCCGTGCCATGCCTGCTGCCTGTTCGTCAGCCACTCCAGGCAGCCCAGCCAGAGGTAATGAGGGAAGTCGTTCTAAAGTCGTTCTGAATTGCCGGCGGGCAAGATTAACCTACCTGCGCACTCCCCTTTCTGCAGTAACCACGCAACTACCCCTATTAAGGCATACAGGTGGCAGCAGGGTGCAACCATGTCGGCGATGTGAGGTGGAGGAACTAGGCATTAACCACACAGCTTATCACCTGCCTTGGGCCACTTCACACGACTGACAATCCTAGCAAAAACCGGCCTGGCTACTTTGCCAACAGATAAAACAAGCATGGTAGCTTTTCTTCTCTTTTGGCAGCTACAAGAGAACATTTCTTCTCCGTTTTGCCCGTAACCAGCTTAGCGTTGTGGAAATGTTTAGCCGAAGCCATTGTGGCCTAACGCTGAGAAGATAAACAAACTAACCACCAATTAAGTCCCCTTCACCAGACTAACATGGTATCACCCGAAATAACTCCATAATAGCACCTCTATTGTGGAAGACATAATGTGGTTAAGTATGGTGGTTGGGGCAGAGCCTTACGTTTGCATGGAGGTTTGGGGAAGGACGTGGCATCGCCGTAGTACCCGGGGAGGCAGCGTTCGCAGGCGGTTCCCGTCGTGAAGTACACGCACTTCAGACACTCCCCGGTGATTCTGTGGGGAAAGGAAACATGTACAGGTGAGTGAAAGTGTGAAGTATGCAGGCCTGCAGGTGTTGGGAGGACAGGTATGTTATAATGACACCTGAGCTGACAGTAGGACTTTACAACAAAGCTTGCCAACATCAGATTACCTGTGCCAGGCCGATGGCAGATAACAGCATTACCTGTGGGTCCGCAGGGTGGCAGACCTTTGAAGTTTTGTGACATAATTAGGCCACACTAAAGTTTCAACATAAAACAGATTCATAATGGGGACAGGAGGAAATAACACTGACAGCATTGCCGATACAACTTGTCAGCAGAAGATCAATCAAAACTTTATATGTAAGGATATACATGTAAAATTAATGTATATGATAAATTTTCATCCATTATTTAGGTACAATTTAACAACTATCAAAACACTGCTTTAATGTAGTATTACATGTTTACAAGTAAAAAGGAGTGCACTATTAAGAATTAACACTGTTTTGTATTCTTATGCACTTGTATAACCCTGTCTATTTATTTGTAGGCATGGTGGCCTCGAAAAGGTGTGCTTAGGTCCACCTGTTCCACCACGCCTTCCATGAACAGTATGTGGAAAATTGTAATAAATAAATAAATGAATGAATGAATGAAATGAATGAAAAATTAACATGGCCAACTTGACTTACGAGTTGCAGTTTCCGACGGCGTTCTCGTCGATGTTGCCGCTACAGATGCAGCGCTGGCAGGGGCGTGGCTGACCGTACTGACCGATGGGGTCACCATAGTAACCATCCATACATCTCTCACAACGGTCACCTGTGAATGAGCAAGTTAAGAAAAGGTAAGAAAACTGATAATTCAAATCGTATGTGGCTGTAATTCACAAAGAAATGATACAAGGATATACAAATTTACCACACAGATTAAAGTTGCGTCCAAGAAAATTAAGTGTAGTAGTGTTTGCAGAGGAAAGTACACAGACACAACATAGTAGAGAAAAAGTAGAGATGAACACATTCACAGAAGCTTGCTGTTGTAAGTACCTATACTGATGTCAAAGAGGAACTGTTACCAAAGTTTAGCACAGCAAAATTCTGTGCACTTTAAATTACCCAGTAAGCCTTAGGTCCTCAGGATGCAGCTATAATTGTTCATCCTTGTGGATAAAACATGTCAGTAGTATTTAGGCTGATGAATCCTAAGAAATGGGGGGAAAAGTTCAAAACAGTTTTTTCTAGTTTATGATTACTGTAGGGCACATGGTGTGGTTAATGGTGTTCTAAAGCTCTGGCTGCCCCACACGTGGACTTACCCCCACATGGGTTACAGGGGTACTGCATGGGCTCTGCACGACTGCCCCGACTGGGGATGTTGGTGGGGCAGGGTGGGAGATCAAAGGGTTCAGCCTGGGCCTGTCCGGGGTAGGGGTCCGAGTGTTGTCGGGTCGGGCCCTTGGTCCGACTCCTTGACCAGTATGGCTGTTGTGCTGGCCCTGTAGGCCTGTTGGTTGGTCTCATGGGACCCTTCACTTGAGGGGCTTGATACAGGGGCTCGGCAGCCTGGCCACTGTAAGGGTATGTGGGGCGTGTGATGCCTTTAATAGCAGAGGTCCTCTGTTGCCCCCTCTTGCGCCCAGGGTTAGGATACATGGGTCGACGGGAGTGTGGCCTGCTCTGAACAGTTTCCTGCCGCAGGCGTTCCACCGCGACATCGCTTTTATCGTTCTGGGGCATGTCTCTCATTACTGGTGAAGCATCTACAAACTGGGGATACTGTTGTGTGAAATATTGCTGAGAGTTTTCAAGTCTTTTCCCTGGCTTTGGCTCTCGGCCAATTTCTGGACCTTGCAGCTGAACATGTATGCTGTTCTCATCATGATTTGCCACCTCTGGTTTAGCAAGCTCATGTCGTTCACTTGTTTCGGATAGCTCGGTTTGAAGCTGTGAGTCCTCTGCACCAGTCTGTGGGTTGTCTCGACAGTTACCTGTCTCACTATCACCTGTATTGTGTAGGTGAGGCACATGCAACTGAATCAGCTGCCCTCGTGGCATCCCTCAGAACACCTGGCTACATGTGAACTGTGCTTGAATAGCTAACATTGGCTAGGCGACATACATGTGGGAGGGATGATGCATTTGCGCTGAGGGGTAGTGACTCACGCACTGCCTGATCTGCTAACCAAATATCATGTGAGCTATCCCCCTAACACAGGAGAATACCACTCACATAGGAGAACACAGAGACAAAAGAAAAACACACACATGCAACTTCACAAAGGCACACAGACTTCAGACAGATCCACAGCACAACACCACATGTACAGACAAGAATGTGACAATCCTAAAAGGATCCTATTTCCTTTCACCAGTTCTAAACCTTTCCACTTGCAAGAACAGTTACATCTTGGTACAAGTATAAGAATGACATACCGATGTAGCCCTCAGTACAGGAGGTACAGACCACCTCCCCGTTAGGAGCCAGATCACAGGGAGCCTGGTTAGGGCAGGGGCAGGGCTGACAGTCGTTGGGCGTCCCCTGGGTGGCATCGCCATAGTAACCCTTCAGACAGCGCTCACAGTAGATCCCTTCTGTGTTGTGCTGACAGCTACATTCACCTGTGAAAGGCACAGCAAAGGTTTTGTGATGACAGTACATAAAGTTTCAAACCTTGTGGTAGCTGCAATTTTTTCAAATCCTCGCAGCCAAATCAACAACCAGAATTTTTTGCAAAACCTACATTTCCTAATACATGTACTAGGTAATCATATTTTTAGCAAAATGCTTTGCTGTTAAACATGACTTTTCAAAGGCAAAAAGCAGAAGTAATTGTGATATGATGCAAAGATCACTGTTGAAGACAGGATTGATTCATGATATGCTGTGTCATTGCTGAAACATAAGAGGGTTGTCGTACCTGTAACAGTGTCGCAGGTGGCAGAGTGGCTGTTACAGAAGCATGGTTCTACTGGGGAGAAGGGGCCACGTCCTGGGTTCTCCTGTTTGTACCCAGGCACCACCTGTTCACAGAACTGTCCAGTCAGACCTGCAGGGGCACAGGAGGCAAAATCTACATGTAACAATCCTTCACTTTGATATACTAGCTTTGACATTTTTACTACAAGCCAATATAGCACTATCATTAAAGGCCTCAAAATCTCAGCTATTTGCATCTACTAGTTCTGTAATGGCCAGGATTAAGTTATGAGATTTGCTTATCCTTTCTTCCATTCTGTGTACATTTCTGACATAACATTAAATAGTGTCCTTTGTTCACAGCTTAAGAATTATGATGTATCTCATATAAAATAGCCCTGTTTCTGTTCCTACATTTAGTTCAGAATTTTTCTAAAACAATGCGCATTGAGAAGTAAAAGAGTACGAAGAGTAGGAATACTGACCCTCTGGACATTCGCACACCTCCACCCAGGTGGCAGCTGGCTGGGCCCCGCTCCTCACCGCTGTGTTCAGCCGAACATCGTCCAGGAAACCACGACCTGATCAGGGGAGGAAAGACATTTAATGACTTGCTCAGTATCTACCACAGGCAAAAAATGACATGAAACAATACTGCACCAAACAAATCAGTCAAAGATGTCTTGATGAATCTTTGGGGACAAATCAGTGGACAGAGTTAACAAAAAACATTTACACAAAGTGGTATTTCATATGGAAGAAATCTGCTGACCTCTGTCAGTGTAGGTTCCCCGGATCTTGAGGGAAGTCAGGTTACTCAGGAGACGGTTGAAATCAAAGGAGGACAGCCTCTGGTTCCACCCCAGGGATGGGTCCTCATGTAGCCGGAAGGAGTAACTAGGGAAGAAACAAAAAAATACATTGACCGCTGATTTTCTGCTTATTTGTAATCTAATATTGTACTGTTCACACAATAAAGCAGAACATCTACAACTAAACTAAACTACTGACTAACAAGAAGTCAGGACAAGCTGCAGATTGTGATCACCATCTTTGAACTGCAGTACACCACACAACTGCCAGGTGGTGCTGTTGCATTGCCCATCATGGAACAGTGCAGGTCCATTCAAAGCTTTCAGCTGACTTGCGCGTTTGTTCTGAATCCTTTTCAAATTACTTCTTTGCTCAAAATGAGTAAAATTATTTTAAATACAAACTAGTTGAGGTTGACAGTTGTAACTCCCACACCAGAAGCTAATGTTTAAACTTTTCCAAACACAATAAGTTCTGGAACCTACTCTTGGTTGACCCTCCTGGGGACGGGGTTCTGTTGGGCAGTCATGGCTGCCGAGAGTCGGATTCCGTTCCCTTCCAGCACGATGTCCTCCGCTGACAGGCGCACGTCCTCCGGGTCAACACGAAGCTTGAAGGTCAGAGTCTGGCCATAGCTCAAGCGCTGGTTTCCAAGGTACTCAGCTGAAATCAAGAAAACATTTATCTCATTATTTCTGTGTATCAAGGCTTTACCTATGAACTTTTCACAGCTAAAGAGATGGTTTTCAAGTTACAGTATCCCCCCAAACAAAGAGGACACTAGTTTCTAACACTATGCACACAAGGACATACATGGAGCAATCTCCTAAAAAAACAAAACTTTTCTATGGCCCCATTTACTGTATCTTTCTTCCTCATGAAGAAAACCTTTTTGCTTTTTTAATCATCATTACTATACAGGAGGGTATAAGAACTGATCAATAGCATTATTACTGATTACTTACTGATCAATAACATTACGACAAAGAGAGATTGGGTTGGTATTTGTTGAAATCTGAAGATATTCAGTCCTTACCTGGTGCGACAAAGTAGACAGGCTCCTGGCTGTCGGCTGTAGCTCCCAGGTTCTCCCCCACCTGTGTCCACCTGATCTCCCTCTCATTCCCAAACCTGTCCTCACCAGTCCAGCCACGCTGACCTGCGGGAGGGGGGCAGCATGTATCAACAAACTGGCTCATAACTCGACTATCACACATTATAACCATAGATGGGTGCAGGGTCACCTTGTAGTTACCATCTATGGAAACACCCTAATACCAACACCACACTGGTTGGACACCTCTTTTGACCCTTATCAAAAATTCACTTCACCACAGACATCACCGTTAGAAAACTTTTTGTCATTTTTACCATGGGCGAAGTCGTCTATCACTTGTCGAGTATCTGGACAAGAAATATTGCACATGTTACATCACTGGAGAATCTTATTCTATATCCTACACACAACAAACTTCATATACATTGATGAAGGTAAGACGTCCAAGTAAACAATATTCAAGGACAAATCAAAATTTACTACTGGATAAGTTACAGAAGCGTACAGAAGAAATCTCTATAATTTATCCAGCAGTAGAGTTTGATCTGTCTATGAACACACTTCATAGGCAAGCTACAATGAAATGATGTTCTCTACAGCTTTCTGCTGATCTGCAATAGCCATAAAAGTAGCCTTGATTGGAGAGAAGCCTGTGGTCAATATTCATGAATATTCTACACATTAGCACTGCTTACACATCTGCACAATCTGTGCCTTCTAGCAAGTTTGCCATGAAACATGGAGTACCAACTCGCGCATCTAGGTGCCAGTGATTGCCGCAAACCTCAAGCCTTTCCTCCACTGTGCCAGAAAAGGTTCCTCTACGTATTTTAACCTTTGTGGCACAGTGGGCTTACCATGGGTGAAGGTACTGAACCTGGGCCCGTACTGGTACCTGGGATCTAGCAGGTCAGGGAGAGGGGTCATTCATTAGGTCACCAGTCAAAGGTATTGGGAAAGTAGAGGTCCTATTCATTTACTTCTCTGTACTTCTACGTGGAATAAGCAATTTCAGTTTTTTTATTTTTTTCAATAATCTGGAAGATATTAAGTAGGTGAAGTATAATTCTAGGAAAAGAAACATGCACATCGAAGGGAATCATGAGAAAACAAACCACTCAGTTAATATTTCTACTTTTCATAAATATCTTGAGCAGCTTCCACCAATTACTAGGTCTTGTATATGTCAACACCGCTTTGTAAAACACTTGTATAGGAGTTAGGCAAATATCTGCAGGCTGTAGGCTACATTTGTACTACAGCACAATCTGCCTAACTGCTTTAAACCCGCCAAATTACAGCAAATTACCCGCTGAGAATTTTACCTAACTATATGACAGACAAGCTTTCATCCTTAGAGCTGCCTAGTGACATTTCCATCAGGTCACTTGTTGATTGATGCATTACAGCTTATGCAATGATTCTGCTTTAAACTACATGTTTAGTTTTACTGTGGTTAAAGCCATTCTGAAAATGTTACGCCACATCTGCTTGCTTGCCTTTGAAATTATGGGCTATCTACTGCTTTTAAAAATGTAAGGTCAGTATGAAATTTTAGTGCAGATATTTTGGTGTGGATTTTAGCCTTCTACCAATTGTCTGTTATCAAACATTTAGATATGGTTAAGGGATGAAGGGTTTTAGCAGCAGCATCTGCGGCTATGTTCCTCTGGCTACAGAGCTGTTGAATTGTGGGCAAAACTGGACATACAAGATGCACCAATAGAATGGTCAGCAAGCAGGCAGGCCAATGGGCCCGGGCAGAGGCAAGGCCCTGACAGCGCACCTGGTTAAAATACATTAAACACAAGCATTACAATCCAACATGCTGCAAAGCACAGGTTCCTCATCAATATGGATTTTACAATAGACTGAAGGGAATATTTTTGGGTATTTATCATGTCATCAGGCAGTGCCACCTTCAAACAGTGACCCTGTCTATCTAAAGGGTTTAACTTTGAAAATATTTTAGACAAACTAACTACTACAGCTTAAACTTGCAAAGACAATCTCAGATAACTAAGTTATGATCTTTCTGGTAATGTTTTACACCACATAAGGTACATGGAGATAGTTGATTTATGACTGACCTGTGGTGAAGGGTGTACTGATGACAGAGGCAGCGTACCCAGAGGCCACGGCACACTTGGCAGAGTGGCCGTAACAGAAGCAGGAGATACAGCCAGACGGGTTGGTGGAGTCCAGGTTGAAGTAACCAGGCTTACACCTATAGTGGTACATGTCGTGTCAAAATGTTACAAAATTTACAGGCCATAGTTTTCCATATTGAGTTGTCAACAAAGTTAAATTTTGGACGATGACAGGGACCTCTAAAACATACTTACATTTCCTTTGACTTACATTGTACAGTATAATACACTATACTACTGAAAGTTTCCACCCCTGAACTCTAAACTAACCCATGACCCACCTGTCACAGCGAGGTCCCTCCACATTCTGCTTGCACTGACACTGTCCTGTCACCTGGTCACAGGCACCCGCATTGTTCACGGTACCAGCACTGTCACAGGAACATTGTCTGTGCACAACAATAACAAAAGTGGTCAAGAATGAAAGCTGCAGCAATTTTACTGTAAATGGATTAAAATGGAATAAGAGCATGACTAGAACTTCTTTCAGAGAGAAAATGAAAGTTGGCAAAAGTTATACCCACCTGCAGCCAGCCTCGCTCAGGCCGAAGTGCCCGTCCTGACAGCGGTCACACTTGTCCCCTCCCACCCCGGGTTTACATTGGCAGCGTCCCAGGGGGTCGCACTGCTGCTGGATGGATCCTGGGAAGGACAAAGTTCAGCCAATCAGGATCAGTGACACATGCACATGGCTCTGTTTACCTCACATATTTCTACCCTTGACAGATCTCAACCAATGCCTATGGCAAAGGGGAAGGTTCTATCAATCTGCAGGCATCCCAACACCAGTAATATCATTGAACGAAAATGTACAACTTTTTTTCGAAGTTAGGGAATAATATTTTGTGTGCCAAACATCAAACAATATTTTTCTTGTCAACCAGTCCAGGAAGATCTGAACATCCTTTCAGACAGAATCTTGCCACCATGTTTTCTCAGAAAATGTTCCTCTGACATCCTGCCTATCCTTATCTCAAAACCAGCAGGGTTAAGCCAGACATACCGAGAGGGTTACAGTTGCAGGGCTGACAGGGGTCGGTCTGCTGGGCCCTGTAGTAGTACTCCAGGCAGCGCTCACAGTTGGGTCCAGCCGTGTTCTGTCTGCAGCCGATGCAGCGCCCGCCGTGCCCTGTCCGTCTGTACAGGTCCGAGTCAAACTCACAGCTGTCCGCCAGGTTATTACAGTTGCAGGCTGGAAGGGAAGATATGATATGTCAGACAAGAATCTTCCTAATTGACCTTGGTTTACTGACAGTGTTCCCCCAGGATGTTTTTCAATGAAATGGTGGATACTGTTGATAGAGTGGACACACCTGGAAAGTACATTGCTCATCATATCCATAGTTCCAAGTAAAAATACAAAGCAATGATGGTGACAAAATACAAGCAGAAACATCTAACTTGTCTTAACAAGTTGTTCATTTTAATCACCTTGCAATGACACTGCATGGCTATGTCTTATATTTTCTACATGTGCCACAAAAAATGCCATTACTGACATAGCTTTCTACTTAGAAAAGCATGTTTCGCCCTGACACAGTGACAGACAGCACCTCCAATGCACCATGGTCACCTTGAATCTCGTCCTTTGCACTTTAAAGCATGGCTGCCGTTTTGTTATGTTAGGACATGCCTGGCATTTGGAATTTACGGTCCTTGTGACCTCAAGGGCACTGCAAGTCCAGATGGGAACTTTTATTTGAAACTTTCCTTTCCAGTGCAACTACCTCTACATATTTGTTAGTGTAGAACAATTCCACAGTAGTGGAAGAACACCTGTTGGACAGATATTATGTTTAGACCCAAAACAGGCTTACTTCTAATGACATATAGTTCAGGCATTTACCATGTCTTCCTTGGTTAGTTGCTAAGTCTTACTTGAGCACACATGACATTTTAAGGCTGAGCTAGGAAGACACAGAGCCTGACCCTGGAAGAGACAACAGATAAATAGCAAAGATAATACAGGAGGAACTGTATTGTACAACACAAAACCTCTTGTCTTTTGATATATACATATATTCTGAAACTTACATTTTTATCTGGTTATGCCAGCAATGTTCCGTGTACTGACCTTGGAAGTGTCATGTTTCCCAACCTTGTGGTTAGCATTCCTACAGGTTTAACATCCTTATTCTCCACCATGCCCACTCAACGGACACACCGCTATGTTAAATTCATAAGGAGATCCTGTTAGACAGTTGGAACTCTCAGTAGCTATACGGCACCATGGTACAAGCCCTGCATCATAAGTAGGCAAGGGTGAATCCCTGCAACTGGTATCCCATTTTATGTGTTTCCTGTTATGTGTAGAAATCTGTCTCACTCAACAATGAACTTGCTTCTTGCTTATGGCAAAACAAAAGAGGTAGTGTAGATGTAACAAACAATACCAAACATTGCAACAATGCAGGAGAAACACTGTCCTGAGGGAACCAATACCCACAGCGAGTTATCAAAGTGTTCTATGCACCACTGCACAAATATTCAGCAACAGGTTAATAATACGGCTATACCATTATGCGCTATGATTAAAACCGCCATCAACTAATGCGCCATATGGGTCTCCTGGGTCATCCAGACATTCATCATGCTTACACCCTTCCCCTGTACCAAATAAAGAGAAGTCTCTGGAACATGTACTGCAAAGTTTGACTGATTACCACTCCGTGCAGGTCAGCAATTCAATAATATTGACACTGACAGGGACTTTTAGTGACAAACGCTCCGTCTCCTCCAAGGTTTAATTCGGTTACGGAGGCAAAGCTGCGCCTGCGACCCCTTCCCAAATCAGATTGGTCGCTGCCGTGCCTGCCACAGTAATTTAATCCATGTGTGTGTGATGTGCGCGGTGGGGGATGTGTCATAAAGGCGTAACTTAATAAAGGCGGGAGATGTAATCCATTATGCCATATGCAGTTGAGGGGAGAGAGGTCTGGGGACATCATAACAACTCCTCCTCTGATCATGCCTGACTTTCGGTCTTAACATGATAAGAGAAAGTACCTGCAAAATATAACAGAGGGTCACAACAGCCTTGCCTCTGGAGGTAAAGGAATGATGTGGCAGGTGTATTTCACGGCTGTTAATTTAATTTCGCTGGCTTGTGTCTAGACATGACCTAATATTCAGCTGCTCTCAGCAGTCGTATTTTCCTGAACTTTGAAGTCATTTTCTCTTGTGCAGCTACTTCAATACATCTGTGCCACAGTCTCATTTTCTACCTATAGGCTAGAACATTATGCTGAACTATGTCTAGAACATAATATTATGTAGATTGAAAGATCATAAAATTGCCTTTTTATTAAAAATTGAACATAGATATACAGTAACGACATTGTAACATTTAACTGCCAGTATACTGATCGTAACCTTGACTAGAAAACAGTCTCTATGCTGACATCGATACCATAGATTTAACCATACAGATGCCTGCAGGTAAAAATCTATTCCAGGAGGGTCCAAGAGTCAATAATTTGGTTTCTGCATCAGAACTTGGCTTCCTGCCACTGCCCTAACTAGGTTATAGGCAGGAAATAGAAGTCAGAGAAGCTTCTCTTGATGTTGGTCACATAGTAAAGATCACTGGCTCAGATGAGTCTGATGTGGTGCACCTCTGCATGGCAAATTGTACCGAGGAAGAGTGAAACGCACCGCTACACCAGATAATTGGCAATTTGTGATTCACAGGCTGCATGTTAACCATAGGTTTTCCTCAGAAATGTCAAGTGTTTTCCAAAGGACAGATTTTCCATGTCAGGACATTTGTCTACCCTGGGGGAGTAAAATCAGTTTACCTGTGAACAATTTGATTTCGCATGAATCAAATCTTCTTGACTCGAATTTCGATGGATCATGTACACACCCGCTTGACTTGACTTTGCTTGACTTTTCCAAGGGCAAATTCATGTCGAAATCTCAGGAAACAATCAATTTTTTTACGATGCTCCACATTAACTTAAATTTTTCATTTGCTCATATAATAGCTACTAGTATTACATTATTTATTTTATATACTGCCCTTCCCTATAAAGTTAGTTTAAGTCAAAATCCCTCCTAAAACTGTTTAATTTTGTATGCTTTAACAGTAGCATGTAGCATGGATGAAACAAAATTCTACCTACCTAAATACATTTCCTAGTGGCAGTCTTACATTTGAAAAGTGAGGCCAAATTGAAACCTACAGGTCTGTCCATCAACCCCAACCTTATCTTTGTTAAGAGATAGCTGGTGTAATTACTTCTGAGAGGTGCATTACTCTTGGTAATGTCCTCAGATTACAGTGAATTGTCACCCCGTCCACTTAATAAAGACCAGGTCTTGTGTCCCCAAACACAGGGAGGACAAACATACATCCTCAGACCTACTTTACTTGTTGACTCAACACGCATCTTCTCTTTGTCAGTAAAGAAAACAAACTAATGATCGACTTGTCATCCATTCAACATAAAAGGAAACTATTAAAGTAACATAATATTGAAGACATACATCATACAAGTACATGTATGAGTCTTTTTGGCCCGACAAAAGGTCTCCAGGGACCAATCAAGTGAATTATGTGAGTTTATCAAAAAAAGGTCTGGAAGAACTGTTCCATACACAGGTGCATCTCATTGAACTAACCCCACGACACAGGACATACACAAGTATATCCATCTTCCTAACCCTGCATCTGTGGGCAAGGTCTCTGTGAGTTGTCCACCGGAGGTTTGTGCCATATTCCACCTCTACCAGGTGCAGAATCCACAGTTTTTCTACCCATTACCTGCAGCTGACCTTTGACTACCACATGGACCTGCCCTGATCACTCAGAGATCACCTCATCACCTACTTTAGCTCCCAGATCAAATTAATCTGGCTTGATAGGATCATTCTTCTTGTTCAGAGTTTCCTGACAACAATTTACATTCAGGGAAAATTCAATTTGTAGCCTTGTAACAGGAGAAGGAAATTCTAGAAAGCAAGGCAGCTTGTCTAAATACTGCTTGGTGGGAAAGGTCCAGGACCCCAAGTTGCGGCCATTACAAGGTGCTCTGGAAGTACCAAATGTAGTATGGCCTGGGTCAGAAATGTGAACCACTGCAATAAGTCTTACTACTGCAGGTAATGAGCAGCTTAATGATGTCTTTGGTCCGTTATCAGTTAGTTATACCCCTGGCAGAATTGATAAGGTACAGCTGGTGAAAATCTTGAAAAATTATATGACAGAATCTCATCAACAACTTCCAGAGTCTTCTCTCTAAGGATGTGGTGACCCAAGGTTCTGGGAAGTATTTTGTTGACTGTATACAAACTGTATACAAAATTACCTGTGTGGTTTTGGTGCTCTTCTTTCATTCAGCTGGAGTTCTGGGTTATGTACACATGCTAGCCTCCTTTCATCCCTAAAACCATCTGCATATCCTGTCCTACATAAGCTGCTGCTATAATATTTTGTTTTGACTCCCCCAAGTATCCCTTAGGTTACAGAACAGACCAGATGTCAACTGTTGGGGCTGCCCTCCCCCTCCCACACTCCCAGCTAAAGGTGTACAGTTACCTGTAGGAGTAGGGAAACCTGTGGGTGGTGGGAACAACCCACCTTCTAGACACACCACTTCCTGTGCCCACATTCCCCACATAAGACACTCTACTAGCCAACCTATCATGGAAAAATTCTCCATTCTCATGTTACATACCTGTTCTACTGGTTTTCATTGTCTTGTACATTTTGTTAGCATCAGAAAACATTAATTCCTTTGGAACAGGTGATGGTCTCATGCTTAATCTCTTTGATTGATCTTTGATAATATTTTCTCATTTCCTACATTTTTCTCTCCGAAAACATTTTGGGGCAAAAATAACAATGCATTATGTGGGTTTGAGCACAGTCCTATAGAAGATGCAAGTGCAATTACCTTTGACATTTGTGCAGGACTTATTTGTGGGTATTATAGTGTATATCTGGCAGTTCTTTTGTGTAGTTTCTAGGAGTGTAGCCTGAGGGGTAAAGGAAACTATTTCACACAATTATCCCGGTGGATTTCCACAAAGAATAGGAAGCCGTGCCCAGTTTAATCCTGCCCTGTTTCCGTCGCCGCCTGGGGGTTTAGAAGTTGAGGTTTATGCCGTGAGTTGTGTAGGCTGTAAGTTCTCTTATCTCAACTTCTGCCACAGCAGTCCTTCAGAATGCAACAACTGCTTTACATTACCACATCAAAGGCCAAGGGCTTTTGACAACAATGGCTACAAGTCAGCAGCAGTGACACCGAACTAAGTAAGTTACTGTGATTTCCCACAAAAAGAACCTGAGCCATAGTGGTGAAACTGACTTAAAAGGTGTACAATTAGGTAAAATATCAGCTACAGACAAGCTGATAAAATAAAGGTTTATTTGTTATCCAGACAACAACGTTGGTGCAAGCTGGTATAAAAGACCTAATACTACAGTAGGTGTTGCAAGATCACTATCTATTTTGGGTACTAGAGCCTACATGACTTGTTTGATATCCCTTCTTAGTCTGTTCTGGTCCAGTAGGGGCTATTTTGGTTATGGTACACATACAAAGAGGGCATCCATGGGTCATAGAGGTTAGACATTACTGGAATACAAGAAGGGGGCCAAAGGAGAGTTAATTTCCTCTGCCTCTGAGGTTGGAAGACCACTTGGGAGACATTACAAGTTCACTTCGCACATGTAGAGCAAGCCTAAAGAAATAAGCATTCCTCGTATTCTCATCAGCTACTACGGCTGTAACACGCCCTGTTAGTTTTTGGAAAGTAGTGAACTTTTCCGTTGTGTTCACTTGTTTATGTGATCTTTGATCTTTAGGAAAGGTGATACAGACACCAGTGGTTAATGTAAATGGCTGAGGTGACAGAACTTCCTGATGATGATGGTACTGAGCAGATGTGTAATTCATGATTTTTTCGTGGTACTTTTATGTTTTCGGTTTTTCTGGTCACTTCTGTACAGCGAACTTATCATTACCGTGAACAAATAATTCACCGACTTTCTTTTTGCTGCACCTGATGCCACCACGAACATATACATACATGTGGTTCCATGAACATGTCCATTTTTCAGGCAAACTTTTGCTATCATGAATTACTGTAAGTCATGTGGCATTCCCATCTTACACTGCAACTTCCACAGGGAAGCCGCTTGTTAGCAAGAACGTGAGGGATTTCTGCGTTCCTTGCTCATTTACTGTCCACACCTGTTGTGTCTTCCGGTGCGAGCTGCGTCCGTTATCATTACCAGAATCCATCAGCATGAAAATTACCTTCCACCCAAGGTGAAGCGTTGTAGATTACAGCCCACGACTGTTGTAAATTAAAGACTTGTGTCCCAAAGGTGGCCTCTCCCTCTGTTGTCCCAACAAGGTGAGTTTCCTCTGAACATACCAGACAGGTGCCTCAAAGGACACATCGGAATGTCACTGTGACAACACCTACATCCCCTGTTCCCACTTCAACACATGGTGACATCCTGTGTACAATATTTATTATCTCTACCTAATGTTACATGTCTTCTTTTGGTATCTTGGTAAACGAAAAATGTATTAATGGATTTTCTTTTTTAATTCTTTTATATACGGATAGGAAACGCATAATTCAATTTTGTCTAACACTAGTAACAGACTATTTCAAAGCATTCTTTACAATTGCCAGAAGGGGGAAACTAGATCTTTACTAGCAATGTCTTGGCAAACGTTCTCTCTCCCTGTCCAGTATGAAAAGTAGTGGAGGCAGACCTTTCAGATACTGAAGACAAAGAAAACAACTCGTGAGTGACCAGACCTAAAAGATCCAGACCGCCAGCCACATAACCCCAATTCTTCATTAGTCAAGTGCTGCACAATATGATATAGACAATTAAATACCACAAGAATCAGCCAGGCACAGGAAATTTGTATGTCAAGAAATGGGAAGTCTGTTCAGTGTCAGGTGCAACTTTTATCTTCAACTATACTAGACCTCCCACCTTTTTTCAATTCTCTACAGGGCGGCTCGTAAACTTGGGAACCAGTCATCAATCTGATTGGACGATAGTCACACAGGAAATTTGGCAGAATATCGGGCTATCAGGGGAGATTTTATCACAGTACGTGATTGGTTGCCATGTAATTAAGTATTTAGAAATGATAACATTAATACATCTTGAGATTTGTTTGTGCATACAACATTTGATCAAGCATGCTGATTATAACTCAAAGGATTCTGTCACTGATAAATCTTAAAAAGGTAGTACCAGGTATGCATCTCATGTTTATGTAAGCATCATGCTATTAAACCAGCTGCAAAGAAATCTTTGAAAGGGGATTTCATTAAAATGTTTCCGGTATTATTTCAATGAGAATAAAAGAATGGCTAAAATGTGATCAACCTATAACAACAACATGCAGCATTGTTCAATGGTAATGGGGACTATGAGTATTATCTTTGGGATTCTCATTCCTGGTTGTCTGTGTATGCAGTAGAGCATGGGAGGGACCACATGGCCACACAGAAGGGACAGGAAACAAAGCATGTCCACGCAAGGGGGTCAGTCCATCTGCTTTCAGAGCTTTAGAAATTGCGGCACACTTGCTGAATAAAAACTCCAACAAAACACACGCTTCTCTGCATTCATTCAGAACAACGGAAGATATTTGACACCCTCACGTAAGTCAGGGATAGGAGAAATAGTAGGTCTCAAGGGAAGAGCGATACCTATAATCTATATGATAACTTTGATGAGCATATTATCCGTATTCACAACCTCCAAAATGAACAAGACTTCAATACAAACAGTACAAATTTTCCAGAAGTCCTGTTTCTGGTGCAGTTTCGCTGGATTTGCACATGGAATCGTCTGACCAGAAAGCGAGGAAGGCCCAGTCAAGTTGGAATATCTCCTAGGGTATCACACAAAGGGTCTAACAATGGCCAGATGTGCTGCTACATTAACTCAGGAGATCTACAGCATTCTGACAGAGCTCCTGGACTCCTGGTTTGTAGGTCATCCTTTATCTCACAGTAACAGTTCCAGACCCTGAGAGCCGTTCATTGGCAAGCTGTAAAACTAGCTGTCAGTCAGTCAGTCCACCCACCCTGTAGACACTTCACTTCCCAGCATTGTCATTACCTGGTACCTCCCCCCTACAAACACCGTAAAGCACAGGGAAAACAGTCACTCACGGATCCACTGTGTCCCGTCCCAGTAATACCGCGCTGTCACTGCAACAAGCAAGTCCAGGGCAAGCCAGGAAAGCAGCAAAAATCCTACAGATGTGCGTTGCCGGGCCATGTTGTGTGTGTGTTGTTCACAGTTGAAATCCCCCGGCTCCACTCAGCCCTAATCACCACCTAGCACTGGGCCGGGGCACTCAGATCAGCTGATTAGCTATGCAGCTCTGGGCAGGGCGGACCATTTGAACTGCCAAGCGGGCCTAGGGGCTGCGGCACCCATCCATCCACAAACCGCAGACACCAACGCTCAATTGGTCCTGTTCTCACCAAACTTTTATAGCAGCTTCTCTCAGGGACAGTCCAGAAGGATCAGCAGGGAGGGGAGGGTGTGGGAGGGGGGGACTGCTGGGTCCCATCAGTGCAGCACATGCCAACAGGTCAGCAGACAAACAGCCCACTGGTTCAAGTTGTCACTGGGCACACTGAGAAATTGTTGCAATTTCAGGAAGGCAGCTTGGTGGGAGATAAGGAGGGACAGGGGGCTTGTCCCCACATAGTTAACATCTAAGAGATAGGGTTTTGTTAAAGCATGCTCACACGATGTTTCATTTCCACAATTTTACATTTTAAGTATAATTCGTTTCTAGGTGTTAAGGTTGATAACAGGTGAAACAGGGGTGGGGCAAAGATAACATCATCTCCTCAATTGTGTTAAAGGCATAGGAATTGCCTCTAATGAGGATGATTCATTAGATTGCACTGATATGCATACCTATGGAAAACAGTCAGGCCAACACAACAGGTACATCTCCTCATGCATACATATGAGGGGACCATCCAGTATGTCTTCTGGGAGGGTTTAAATCATCAACATGGGGAGATCCTCTACTAAACCTGCCTCAAAGGGAAATGTATGAAGATATTGCCTTACAACCCATAAACTTTGAGAGGAAAAGTTCAAAAGGGCTTTAGGAATTCACATCTCTCTAGTGGGAATGTTTCTTTGGCATTCTGGACTCTGATAGTATTTTTCCTACAGTAAGATAAGGCCATGCCTCCAGATAAATAGAAGTCTAGCATCCTTCAAAGCACTTATGTCCCCGTAGAACAATAATAAATATTTGATCGTATCATTTTCCTGAGAATCGGATATGAAGGAAATATGTCACCCGAAGGAAAACTCCATTTACGACACATGCATGCTCATTACCTGTAACATGTGTGTAGCAGATTGTGTGGTTTGGTTTCGTTGTAAGCGTTTCTCCCTGCAGATGGTCAGTTTAATCGGTTCTCAGTGTGTGAGTGGGGAAAGGACCGAGTGAGTCACACTGTCTCTTTCCTGTTGTGTAGGCACTCTGGTCCCAGAGGAACCCAACTTAGGTGAATCATCACAAATCCAACATGGAGGTGGCAACGGGAAGGGAGCTGAACTTCATCCAACAATCAGGTAAGCTGCAACCTTCATTTGTCTTAGATCACTCAATAGATCAGTTTCTGAGGTAGGTTATTGGTTTCCACTTATCTCAAAAGCACACCTTGCAATGGAAAGGAAATAGCAGCGGCTATACAGGTTATAAGACTCAAGTCCATCTGGAATGCAAATTAAGTTTAGCAAAAAATGTCCATAGTTTACTTAATTACATCCCTAACCTTGCACTGCTTCCAAATGTAGAAATTTATGGCCCAACCTCCTAGAGAGTTTTCTCATTTCCGTAAGTACATGTATGTCATTTGTGCTAATTGCAGGCGAGCTGTGAAATGCCATGTGCATCTGGTGAGCTTCGGCGCATTTCGAGATTTACTGGGGTCTTCCAGCTCATGTGATGTGTTTTGTGACCTTTTAAATAGCTCCATATTGGTATTACTATCAATCAGTCGCATTTCGATGTAGCTGTTGTGCAAGAGAAAGAGTTTGGCATGGTTTCTGGGGAAAGATCTTTTTACTTGATGCCGGATGCTTCTATTCTGGCACTATACCCTGGGAATGGAATGGACAGTAGGAAATAGGTCACATTGTCTTCTGTTGACATATTTGGTCATATTTGTTTCTGTTTCAAATGGGTTTTGTAGTAAATAAATGGTAGCTCACGGTATGCATGCTAATGTTTTTGCCTTAGTTCCCCCATTTCAGTACTGATGACTCATATGGTGCCGTTTGTCTGATGCAAATTACTCGAAGAGCAATATCCTAGACTGTTCATATTTGCAAACATGATAAAGTCGCCTGCTTTGCTTTAAAATTGCATTTTTCATCTCAGGAAGTATCCTCTACAATTAGATTGTCTATTCTTCTCACTTAGGGTTTAGACCTATGTCTAACACCATTACAATTTTCATCAGTTACATCTACACATGTTGCCCTTGGTCTAACACTGTCTTTCCAAAATTTTCCTGGAAGACATAGGCTCTTTTTAGACTTTTGTAGCAAAAATAATGGATATTGTATTTATGTGTGTTGTGTGGCCAATAGCAGCAGCAGTAACTACCACTGGGTCTGTTTTTGAAAATTTATTGTAACATGTCTAAATGATATAATCAATTGCACATCAACCTACAAACCATCTCTTATAGCTGTAAATGTCGGTCTATGGACCTGTTTCTGAAATGAAAGGGTTAAACAAACCATCACCAAGGACTGTATACCATCTGATACACAATGTGTATTGTATAATACACATGCTACTGTGTACATGATAACGCGAGCATCCATCCATCCTCACAATACTGTACAGGGAAAACCACTATCCCAACAAGCCCCAGTTTTAAGTGCTCTGCTGACAGCAGCTAATTACCTGAGCAGGAGACCTTTTGACACAATCTACTTCCAGTCCAAAAGGGGAGGTCAGTGTGGGTGATGTTCAGATTAAAACCCTGCCCTTTAATCACCACTTGGTATCTACTGGGGCAGCTGTGCTGATTATTCAGTTTTAACCTCTGCAAACATGTTTGGCCAAACTTTGTTTTGTTCATCACTGATGCTACCTAATGTAGGCAAGTACAATTCCTCCATTTCAATAGTGTTGTTAGAATTTCAAGAGTAATCGTATTTACCAATCTGAACTGTTGGATTGATATATATGTGAAAGCATGCAATTTCATTGAACGTATACCATTACATTAGTTTGGTATGCAGACAGCTATCAACAGGATCTGATACTGTGATAGGTCAAACCTCCAGCTATCTACATGTACTAAGACATCCAACTAAATCCTGAAGGATGAGATTTCTAACCCCTTTGAGTTACAAATCCAAGTGGACTATGTGTTCATCCCATATGTCCACAACTAGCTGGCTGGCAACATGTTTGTTCTGATAGTGTGTGAACTATTTTCATACAGATAGGCATTGTAAGTGGAAAAATTAATTTTATAATAATACATATACCGGTAGCATAGTTTAGTAGATCTAAGGTTCGGTAGTTGACATTAAATGTACACAAAGATCAGGTGGCCTTTAAACAGAGTGATAAATATTGATAGAAAGGCTTCTGGTATAATTATGGTACCTTCTCAGCCGAATCACTGCCAATTTTACAGTTCAACTCAGAATGAAGCTCACTGTATAGAAGGTGTGATGAGGCATGTCCTTATTTGGGCATACAGGATAAAAATGTACTCTTTGCTTTGGACTGGTTCATCTCAAAATTCTGTGCAGGGGTGTTTGTCTATTGTTTAGTTTGGAGTATGTTGGAATAGACGAAAACAGAAAACAATATACTTGAATTCTGATGTACGAAAATGTTGTTGAATTAACTATGAGCTCATTCTTAGAGTTATAACAATAAGCTAAAAGAGACCATAACACTTCAGCGACTTACCTTGACACTCGTGAGAATCCGACGCCGTTGCCCTTCCCCACGGTCTGTCGTTGTACATGGGCAGGCACCTGTCGCAGTCCACGCCGCCCGTGTTGTGCTCGCACACACAGATGAGCCGTGCTTCGCCCCCGGTGTTCACGTTAGCCTCGCACGACGCAGCGTGACCGTTACACTTACACCTGGGAGAGTTCCCAACAGTTTCATGAGTTACAGTCAGGAGTGAATGTACCATTCCAATGTACAACTGTACATTGTCATGGGACAGAAAAACACTGTAGAGTGTTAGTATTTCCATAGCTGTGTGTATAGTATTTGTAAGGACTTCTAAAAGTCATCTTTTCTTTTTGCAGTGTTTGCATATACACCGTTACTGTTACAGATTGTTTCCAGTTCTGAATCTATCGGTAATCCTCCAAATTTTGCAACAGTTTATATCTAGAAATAGTGCAGGTATAGTTCTTTACTTTGGTTTTCCAACAATTATTTGAGTATTATTAATCGGTAATTAGTTGTTCATTTATGTGTTGAAAATGCTCTTACATTACAAAGCAATTTCTTTTGCTCCCAATATACATGTACATGTTTACATAAGCTCAAAGTGCCATATATGAATGCATGCATCATCAAAGCATCTGGGTAAGGTCAGGATATCAAAGGTCATGCTCTTGGGTTTGACCATCACCATAAAGAGCAGGGAATATGTCACACCATGATTGGGGTTCACACATGATTGGGATGTATTTGTTGTGAGTTATTTAAAATCACAGAACGAATCACACAAAATCACAGTGTTAGTTAGGGAAGGAGGAAATGAGGACCACACGTGCAAGAAAGCATGGAGTTCACACAGCTAGCTTTGTGGGGAAGGCCAGAAACTTTTGCCTAACCAGAGGTCAACAATCTGCCTAACTGGTCATTCTGCAGTGTCCTCTGAATTCCAACGCATCAAAATTATTTCCAAGAATGTATGTACAATGTACATTTAATCTAGCATAAAAGCTTTGTTTGCAAGAAATGACCTGAGAGTTGCTTATGTTTTACATGAAATTTTACATGAGACATTTTCACCATGAATAAATCAAGGGAAGAGAAATTCATCCTTCTTCAAAATTTCGTTATCATGGCATACATTACAGTACTACAAAATAAATCCATGTTCTGTTACGTTCACTGTAAGTGCAACAAGCTAGCTGTGTTTCTCCGGAGGAGTTGCAAAATAAAAACAGGATAGATAGCAGGTGAAGCAGGTGATCACTCAGGGGCATGACAGCTGCTGGCAGGTGTCTGCCTACCTTCCACCTACAGCAAAGTCAGAGATGGCATAGTAGTATGAGGACATGACTTTCGGGTCCCTGAACACTTCGTCTCCGAAGGTATTCAGCCGCCTTAAGCGGATGCGAATGTCTGTAGCGGTGACCCATCCCTAAAAATGCCCACAGAAAAATAAACAAAATAATAATAATAATAAAAAAATGACACATATAAGATGAAGACACACTTAGAGAGGTTGTTATGTAGTCTAGCCATGTGTCTTCACACCATTTGAAGATTCGGTCAGATCCTGAATTTACTCTGTGAAGCATAGTTTTCCAAACATCAAAAAGTGCATTGTGGCTCATCAGTGCAAATGACATTTTTGTACCATACTTTTTTCTTAGATTTGTACAGAATTTCCGAACAAGAAATTATGAAACTTCAAATGGTGCAAAGGCCCGCTGCATACATTTGTAAACAGTGTCTGTGAAAAGTATCTATGATTCCCGCTAACCTTCCGCCCACGGCAAAATCGGAGATTGCATAGTAGTACGACTTAAGAACTTTGGGGTCCCTGAAAACTTCATCTCCAAAACTGTTGATCCTGTTCAGCACAATTCTGATGTCTGTTGCTGTAACAAAATCCTACAGGGAAGGGGGAGGGTGGTGGGCATGTTATGTGGCAGGGAAACGTACAAAGTACTACAGTATATCCTTGGCAACATGTGTCAGGGATGCCCCCTGGTGGAGTCTGTGGGAACAGCACCCAAATGGCAACTGAAACATGTTCAAAGTCATGAATGTCAAAGGCACCTTCTAAAGTATATATGTAGAACAACAAGTATTGCCTATGCATTACTCAGTACAAACAGTATTAATACTCAAAATTTGTTATATAGATTAACATGTCGACCATATTGTTACAGAAATCAAAATGATATTCTATCCCAAGGCCAGAAGTTTTCTGAAACATGCAAGACTGAATGGGTCAACCTATACATCTTCATGACATTACAGAATCAGACATATGCTCCTTGTACCACTCACTTGTAGAATGAGGCTGTTGTCAAAGTTGTAGGCACTTGGTCTTCCCTCCAGCGTACTGAAGGCCACGTTTCCACCAGTCAGAGGGGAGATATCACTAAACTCGTCTGTACAAATGGCCTCTGTCTCGTCTCTGTTGGTGATGACTCCTCTGTTGACTTTCTGGAAGGTTGTTCTACAGGACCCGCTGTAGTACTGGTACGGGATCCACTCCCCGTCTTCTGTCGTCCGCTTGTAGATGGCGAAACTCTCCGGTCGACTCGTGTGGAACTTTAGTCTGACGTATGTGATGTCAAAGGCTTTTCCTGTAGAACAAAAATGAGATAAAAACCGTCATTTATAAAGAATATGTATCTTTTAGGAGTGAGACATAGAAATGAAGATGTTTTCAACACCTCATTTTGCATCCTTTAGATGAGCAATTTAGGCTATTTTGGTCAATATCTAGCCATGATCTTTATTAACATTTAACATAATCAATTAAACACGATAATTGTCTTAAGTACTCTGGTGCTGCAAACTCTCAGGGAAGATACTGTTCACCATACCATCCACCTATGTTGATTACATTACACTGAGCAGAAGTGCCCTCTATTGGAATAAAAATGCACTGCAGATTACTACTCTGCCACCATATGACCAGGGGACTGTAAAGGATGAGGATTACAAGTATAGCTTTCCCACATACTTCAACATAGCAGAGCAAGATAAGGGGAAAGTCCACTGCACTCTGGGAAAAAGCTGACCTTGGCGTGGCTGATGTTAACACCCAATTAGACCTGTGAGTTATCGCTGAGGGATACCGGCATAGTTGCCTTGACATTAGAAATCATGTGCGAACAGCTAGACACAGACCATAGTATGTCAAAAACTTCCAATGCTAGTTACATGAGCTTTCAGACAAAAATAATTTTTCTCAAAAGGTTCTCAAGTATTGTAACACTGCAGCAAATGTTAAAAGAATGTGTATCTTCTCTGGAAAAGTGTGGCATACCGCTTCTAAGATATCTTGAGATTCCTATCCAAGCATCATGACCTCTTGTAGGCCTCCAGGAGTACTTTAAGCTTTATAACAGACAACAAAACTCAGCTGTCTTTCCACTTGCCAACTCAGGTCAAGAAAGCTGATGATAATACAGTAAATTTTGCGGTAAGGCCATACAGTAAAGTTTGCCATCTGGATTTTGTGAGCACTAAACTGCAATGCTGTGGGTCATCAAAGATAGCAGCAGTATTTTCCCTTACCAATAACTTTGAAGGTCAAACACTACATTGTACAAACTCCAGGGAATAATGTCCTTGAACAGTTCCTGTGCACCATTCTATAGAAATCCAGGAGGGGGGGTCCAGATAGTGAGGGTACCTAAACCTGCAACTTCAGTAACCCAATGTCAGTATATATGTTTGAATATCCATAAATGTGCTATTGTAAGAAAAGAAAATAGTATAACTTTTAGAACTTTGCCTTCAACGTTTCTTACAGCCAATATAAAAATACAGTATTAGTGTGTATAGATGTTTTATTTGCATTCTGAGGACCAAACAAAAGGGGTCTCTACAAACTACTGTAGCCAAGACGTAGGTGGTCCCTGGGCCTTGTAAATGATCGGTTTAAGAACGGTAGATCGGACCGATATAGCCTTGCTACCATTATCCCTTCAGGGCCACTTAAAGCCAATATTCAATATACCACAGAATCCCAGGCCGCCATCTTGGTGGACTGTACCATTGCGGTGCAGACACGGGTCAGGGACGGCCCTCCCCAATTTGTACTAAGTGGGCCCATCCAGTTATTCGTTTAACCCTTGTAACAACTGTTGCTCCAGGTGCCCTTGGTTCTCCCCAGAAGGGTACGGCCCTGATGAGATCCCCAGATCCAAGGGACCCCCACAGTTGGAAATCTCACGTCCAAACCCAAATAAAAAGCCCAACTCCAATTTTTCCCATGCCTCCCATTGCTCGGCCCTGATTTCAGGGCCGGGGGTCGAACGAAAATAGCCGGCACCGCCATTCCTGTCAACAAATCAAACCAAGGCGTGGGATATATTGGTTTTACTGACGAGGTCTGCGAACAGAAATGGTTACCCCTACGTGGCGCCGATGTGAAGCTGCCATTTGAAAGTGGAAATACTATACGAGGCCCTTAAGTAGAAGGTTAGACTCATAAAGGAAGACAACCCGCCATGAATGGCCATTGTCTGCTTCTTTTTCTAATACAGATGTGATTTGTACAAAAGTTACAGTTAAATTCTGAAACTCACTGCTATGTCACTTGTGTAATAAATACAAACATCTTTACAGTAGTACATGGCAAACTGCTGTGTTGTGACTGCACCAAGATGTTTGGGTGTTTCCTACAAGGGAAAACAGTGTAATCAGAGCTATGTTCTGAACCTTGGTTTTCGCTATGTGGGCTAAGGTGTCATGTAAGGTACAATGTCAGCTTCAATAGACCTGTCTGGCGACACCTGTGTACTCTCTTGTTGCAGAAAGGCTTATCCGTTTGAAAACAACCTTGTAACAACTGGGCATCACCTATAAATAAAGGGCTGACCCCAGAGGTCACGTAAAATAAACTGAGAGACAAGTGAGAAAAGAGCCCTCAGACAGAGAGCTGTTTGAGGTACAATATCGCCAGGCGAGTCTCCCACCCTCCCAGACAAACCCTGATTGTGAGACGGAAGTGGTTTTGACAGCACAAAAAAGTCCGACAGCAAATAAAGAAACTCAACACTCCATATATGGAGGGAGAGGCATAGCTTTTCTAGGTCGGTCGTCTGACGGTCAGTTCTGGTCAAAAATAGCCCTGTCATATCGGGTCTATTTTGTACGGAATAGAAGTAGAGCTGTGCGACAGGTCTGAACTCGAGTTGGCTTTTGCCGGCAGTGGTTAAACTTCACGTGCATCTTGTTAACAATGTCGACCTTACACATGTTCCTCGTAAATAGAAGTCTGAAGGTCGGTACAGGTTCTCTATGGACAAATGATGGATGCTGCCTATTTACTAAATGTACAAGGGAGCAGTCTACACTTGTGCTTTCTCCCCACATACATGTATGGATCTGGGAACAAGTTCACAAGTTTTACATGACAAATTCAAGTACATTTATTCCTACATGTTTTATTGATCCAGTATATATTTACCTTTATCATAAAAATTACCAGCATCCAATAAATCTGAGCCAAACATATATCATTTTGAGCTTGAAAATCTATGATTGCACTAAGATGTGATATTTGTAGACTTCTTTTAAAAGCAAGTGACAAGACAAACATGACTCTAACAGGAAATGGTAGACAGTAGTGTAGTTGACATGCTGTCAGTGTGACGAATGTTCACTTTGTTACCTTTAAACTGACCCGAACCCAAGGGACCATCCTGCCTGTACTTAAGTTGAAAAGCCTCGTCATAAATATTGAATTTTTGCCATTATTTCATGATTTATTCACACTTAACTCCTAACCCTACTTATATACCAGCTGTCACAAGTGTTTGAAGTGTTTTCTACTCCTTACTATGGATTAAAGGTAACTTTTCTTCTTTTTAATACACAGATATAAAAGAGAAGAAAGATATTGCATATACAGATACCTACATGCAGTAGGGAGGGGTGGAGAAGGCATTGGTATGGTAATACAGACCATCTGTACTCTAACATTAGTCTAAGGACTGGTAATTGTGGTAATGATTATAACATCATTAACAGACCCTCAACCAAACATCAATTTAGAACGCCATTAGTTAAACTAGGAACTGTAATTTTCAGGCGAGAGAAAGGAATTGTCAGGGAGTGGTCCTGGGACAGGGACACGTGTGCAGCTTGTACCGACTGTAAGGTAAATTGTAAGCGACAAGTCCTGTGGCCTGGCTGTTAGCAGGAGTTATGGGGATTATTCTCCAGTTTGACATGTTTGCATCTTTGGTTCAACTGTGTTGAAACATCTACCCCAGCCTTAGATCTTAATAAAATTGAGCCTTAATTTGAAAAAACAAACATGTCACAAGCCCTCGCAAAAACTCTATCCCAGACCATACTCTCCAACTCCAAGATGTTTAACACAGTATTCAACTCTGAGTCTGAGACAAGAACAGTAGTCTCTGATTCAGGGTGGCAGTAATTAGACTGATCAGGTTGCTACATGTATACACTATACATTTTCCAATCCCTAAGCTGGAGCCTGGAGTTTGAGGCTACCTGCCTGACCTTTAGGTAGTAACTGGACACTTTGTGTTTCGAATGTCTCCATTGACGTTTATCACTCTTTCTTTCATCTCACCTTGTAAATGGCATTTGATGCATGAACTGTATTCAAAGTACTGCACCTCTTTGTTTATGCAGTTGCTCATTTTCAGATACGCACAAGTTGATAACGACGCAAATATTTTGATAATGGAGAAAAATGTTGGGCATCTTATCCATATTGCACAGACTGTTTTTCCCTGAGGGAAGATTCTTTCTTTCCCAGGGTTTTTTTGCAGACTGCCTTCCCTGAACCAGACATAGGAGCAAGGCCATAGCAGGCCAGAGCTCACCACCATTGGCCACTGTTTGTTTTCCCTAAGTAAACGAAATCAAGACCCAAGTGTATTTATGCACCATTTAAAGCCTGGAGTGCAAGTCTGTGTGCACACAGTCCGTCATGGGAAGGACTGTTACAAGTCACCTAACCATTCTTTTGAACACCTCAGCCATGTACTGTCACCTTATATGTCAACTTGTCCAGCCTGCTACGTTTACAAATCAACATTCCTCTTGTGCAATGGGCCTGCTTGTATTTGCTGACAACAGCTAATGAGAATAGAGGAGAGACCTGCCTTTCCAATGGTCAATGCATAGGAAATAGAAAATCTGACAAAAGCAAGTGTGAATGAAAGAAAGAAGTACCTTTCAAATTATGGCCAAAGCAAGAACACATAGGAAATATGAGTTTCAGTGTGAACTTGTCAATGTGATATCTTCTGACCAACATTTTACAATAACTTCAAGTTTGTGTTCCAATGGGTTACAAAATTATGACCCACTCAATATCATTTTGGATTTCCTTCGGAAATATTGATGCAACTACTTTGTGGATTGAAACTTTGATGGCTGATTGAGACCAACTCTTTCTTGTTTCAGCCTGTATATTTTCAACTTACATAACTTCTCCCTCCAGACAGGCTCTCATTTGAACTTTCTCAGTGACATTAACTTGATTAAGGTTTGAATACTTGAAAAACTGTTCTCTATTAATAGTTACCTGGAGGGAGGGACAGTAATGAAGCAATAATGAACCCATCAGGTTTTTTTCTCACAGGCTGTG